ACTCTATAACCTAGCTTGAAACTTGCTGACTCTATAACCTAGTTTGAAACCTGCTGACTCTATAACCTAGCTGTAAAATTCCATGAGAATCCATCTTCACAATGTCAAGCTATTACGAACTGCCTCTAATACCTTGACACCAATAGTCACATTTCAAGTGAAGATGATACCGACGAATACTAATAGGAGTATCCAAGTTACATTTTCCAACTCTCTTCTAACACAGAAGATACTGTTCTTAGAATCTCCCAAAACGGTCTCGTTATGAAGGTGGTCTCTTAGAAGAGTACGGGATCATATTAAGAACATGGACCTTATTCTGGAAATCTGAAAATGATTCAAATGATTATTAGGTAGGTATAATGAAAGGTTATAATGTAGTCAATGTCCATCCACAATCTATGGCTGACATAAAATATTAGATATAACAACTAGTCATCCACTAGGTCTTAAATGGATAGGTCACGTTCACGTCCAATTTAACCTTATTGATGGACATGTAAACTCCGCCAATGGTCCATTTCTATCCATAATCCACAATCTACCGAATAGACAAGAGCGTGAAATTTTATCCTTGGTAAACAGAGGTTTCTATCAAACAGGATTCTGTTATCTATATACATGTACAATTATTTACAATTTGAGATATCTTCCGCGTTCACAGGGGGCGTTCGGAGTTTGTACGACATGTTCTGGGCGTTTGCTGTGAAACAGAGACGAGCCCTTCTCACAAAATTTTAAGGGATGCAAAAGAGTTTTTTTTAAGGTTTTGTATGAGCATTGGAGACACTTATAGCTTCCACCCGACGTCCGCGGTTTTGTCGACAATATGTCATTATCTGGTTTAGTTAGAATTGAATCAAACGAACCGCAGATGAAACTGAAGCAAATAGAATGCATCATAATACAGGCAGTGCATTCTAGTCGTCACACGACAGTTAAACATCACAACATTAGGCTGGTAGTTACCCATGCAAATTTCCAGAATTTCACACTGCATGGCACTGGAGATCTGAGTTAGTCTGATGTGTAGGGCGTAAAACCCCATTTCATTTCATTTAAATTTGCGAATTCCAAAGATTAATAACAGAATGATTTCATGTATTGCATTTCTACTCACGACAGTCACGGTGTGGGCTATTCACCACCTCTAAGATTAGTCTTTTCACATTATTGTGATACCCACAGAGTTGGAGAATACCCACTGCCCTTGAACGAAAGCCCCCCATAGAAATAAGAGCTCGCAAGAGGATTAGAAATGATGTCGATCCTTTCAGATATAAATTAATTTTATCTATAGTTATTATTTATATTGCAGAATTTGATATTCTCATAAACAACGCGTTGAAAATTAAGCTCATATTAATAATTGTAACAAAATCACATTGAAAGCTTGGTATTAATTGAAATATGAAATGTATAGGGTAGACTGAAAGGTATTTTCTACTTAATTCAAGCCCGTATATTTGGTCCAGGCCCGTAGCCAGACTTGATTGTTCGTAAGGGCAAGTAATATATCAAGAGGGGCAATGGTGTATAATCTTTAGTTGCAGTAATTTAATTGGTCGGTTTGTCACATTTCGGAGTTGGGGGCGGGGCAAGCTACCCCACTCTCCCCCACCCCCCTCTAGCAACGGGACCATCAAGGTCTCAAGGGTGGTGACGTGAATTAATAGGTTCGAGCCTCCGAGAAGGGGAAACGGAATTATCAAGGGGGGTAAACAGTACCTGACATTTAATAACTCGCTGAAATTTGACCCAGAGAGGGGCAGGGGGGTCAAAGCAGAGGTCAACTACATTTTAGATGATATGATGTTTTTAAGTTTTGTGAAGACTACCAGGTGACTTATAAATGAGAACTACACTCTTACGAATGCTTTCACCTTTCACATATTTTATGAAGTTTTTGAATTACCAGGTATTATATTTTGAAAAAGTGTGAAAATTGTATAGAATTATATCTTAATGTATTAAATAGACATCTATAGGTTTATTAAAATTCAATGGTTAATATATCTTTTAGTAAAATTGTAATTTCTGCAAGCATACGACTGATCAAGTGAAATGTGAGGGCCTCTCATAGGTCCGCGCTCGTGCCATACGTTTACAGTGGCATAGATAAAACTGTTGCAAGTAGTAAAGTAAGAGGCTTTCCCCTGAAATCAATTTTTAAACTATGTCGATTTTGAATGTTTAATTGACTAAATCTAATAGTTGCTCGTATATAATAGCGTGAAAAGGGTTTCAGAGTATATATAAGTATATTATAAAGAGGCATATAGGTATATTAAGATATAATATTCGGGTCAAATACTACCGCTACTATTTAAACTACAATGTTTAATTGACTCAATCAAATATCAATAGATAATAGGCTATGATATGACTATTTACTATTTACTATTAAAGCTAAAAATGCGAGGTGTATTTACTAGTTACACATATAGCAAAATAATACTAAGAACCATTTTATGTACAATGACAATTTGGTACGTTATTAACGATCAGTTTTTGTTCACATATACAGTTCTATGGACAGTTCATACAATGTTTGTCCAAGTTGGTACATTATAAATGAAATGTTTTTGTGGACAGTTCATATATTATTTGCCCTCTTTGCATTTGAAACATGTAGAATATCAGTTTGTTTTGCCCTATATTTATATTTGTTTCATGTACATTATATACGGACAATTCCCTGTACAGTTCATATATTATTTTCTTATATTTGTATTTGGTACATGTATATTGTATACAGTTTTGACAGTTGATGTATTGTTTGCCCTGCTCATATCTGGTAAATGCGGATACACTGTACCTTGTACAGTTCTCTGTACAACATTATTTGTCCTATTTGGTACACGATGTACGTACAGTACCGCATGCGCTTCATGAATTATTTACCCGTGGTATTGTTCCTATTTTAGTTTTATACATGATGTTTCCAATAATAAAGAAAATGTCCATATATACGTGATATATAACCTTATACATAGTAATTATTGTGTCATATCATATACATCTATAACGTCTGATTTATAGCCCGCCAAATTCAGTACGCCAAATTATACTACGCCGAATTCAGTGTTAACTTTGAATAGGTATACAGACAAGTCATGGTCAAGAGGCGATTGATAATTCCTCGACCGTATATAATACATGCTTTATCAATATATGTAAGTATATATTGAAATTGATAAAAAAAACACCGCCTTTTTCTTTGAGTCGGTGAATACTTATATTACGAAACGTTACAATGTCTTCTTTTTCTTCAGAGAGGCCCACCTTTTCAACTTTCTTGATCGATCTTGTGGCATTCATTCTTCTCAGAAGTTCAAGATATCTGTACAGTTGGAAATCGAAACAGTTTCTGCCATTGTACACTGTATCTGTATAATATTGTCTGTCTTCAATAGACACATTAGACGGAAAAGAGAAGAACGTCTTCGTTTACAACTTAGATAAAGCAGACTTCTACAGTTATTTATTGATTTTAAAACGGATTTCAATGCAAATTTTACTAATATCCAATGACCCTTATCTATCATAAATCTTACCTTTACTTTATATTCATTATAGTTTAAGTTTTTAGATTTGAATTTAAATTCAAAAATCTGAAAAAATGACAAGCCGCCGATCGTGATGATATCCGGGGAGTGACATCAGGTGTTCCATAGCACTCCATGCGTTTATCAACGAACACCACAACAAGTGGCTAAACTAAAGAATAAGGGTCCGTGGACCTTTAGGTTGGGGGCTTTCCCCACAGTAATTTTTTTTAACATATGCTCTTCGCCCTTTTTTCCAAGTGGTTGGGGCCCCATTAGGGGTGGGGGCCCGTGGACTTGGTTCAACCAGTAGGCCTAGTTGAGCCACTGACCTACTCGCGAACCGTTGAACATGAATATGAAAAAAATATAAGTAAGGTATCCCAATTATTGTGATCCTTCATTCGTTTTTCTTATATTTAAAACAATTCGCGTCAGACAGTTCTGATAGCACAATTCTGTCATTTTATTGTATTTAAAAAATAAAATTTTAACTTACCTATATGTAAGGGATCATTTAATATCCAGATTCATTTTGATATAGATTGATTCCTCTCTTAACTCACTTTATAGTCAACCAACTCCCAAAACACAAGTTGTCTTTTAAATACCTTTAAAAATATAGTTTGTTTGCTTAAGGCTGGTTATACAAGACGTATGTAGGTGTTATCACCCAGACGGAAAGATTCATTGAAGAGGGTGTGCTTTTGTTTGAATATCTAAAAGATATATTTGATATATTTGATCAATGTATTTGATAAAGGGATACAGTCGTCGAAATATTTGCTTTACCAGCTGAAGCAGAATGTTTAATTGTACACGAATGTGAAGTCAGATGTTATTCTGAACAGTGATATGGGAAAAAGTGTTGATACAGTTTGAATTAGTTTCCGGTCGGTAATGGAATAGCTCAGTCAATAAAATAAAATTTTGATGTTTATGCTTTCAACCCGTATTACCAGTTAGCAAAGCGAAAATGTAAGCGACGAGATCCCTTTAATAATTGAATACGTAGGAATACTGGAAGAGTGAGACTTGAAGTTCAGATTGTTCAGTCTCAAAATATAATTGAATATGAAAAGGGCAAGAAAGGGAGGTACAATAGAGACCCAAGTTATTCATTCTCGTTTATAACACATAGATATAACTCTATATCAAAAACAGCTCTTTTCTCATTATTTCATTCAGTTACATTAGCCTATGACGGTCCTTAACAATCGGAACCGTTGGCAATATTTCTTACGAAAAGTAACTCTGAGATAACCCGACAACATAGAGAGAAAATGAATACAATTTCAAATCATTATGTGAGGTTAAACATCTGATTAAGAAAGCATGCTAGGATCTTATATAGTAACATTGCGACGTGACGTAAACGTGACGTAAACGCGTGATTTTCTGTAAAAGTTTTCGACAAAGAAAACCATACAACAACGTTTAAAGACGTTTTTATTAAGAAGAAAACAAATACAAAATCGAGACAGCCATTGCCACCATAGGACTGGTACCAAATATACTTCCAGCATTCAAAATCTTTTTCGCATGTTGTAGAGCGACGGCATCATTGGGATTTCCTTTTGAGCTATCAAACCACATATGAATACAAGGTTCACTATCAGGAACCATCTTCCAGGAATAATTCCAGACTTTACTGCAGAATTTAGCAGCGGAACCATATATGTCCTCAAATGTCTTGCACTGGCTGTTGGTTGGACAAGTTGATACCCCTGCAATGGTAATGAAAGCTAGTGTCACCTGCCTAGTAACAACTGTACGGAAACAGTCGAGAGGTGCCGATTAAACTTATATGTACAAGCAAGGGACATTACTCATTACTGGCAAGGGACATAACTAGTTACCTACAGGTGACATTACTCGTTACTGACAAGGGACAGAACTCATTTATGAGAAGGGGCATAACTCGTTACTCGATACTAACAAGGGAGGTAACTTACCTGTCGTCCAGTTAAAATCCTCTCCCCAGTTCTCTACACATGTTAAGTCATATTTACAATCGTTATACCAGTTAGTACAGTCACTTTCACACAATGGTGCATTATTTGCCTTTTCCGTCACATATTTATTGTTGGGTTTCTGCCGATAGATAATATCCTTGATTAAAGGCATTGTAAAGAGGTTTTCTTTATGTGTATCAGGGACACTAATATCATCGACTTGCAACATTCAAATTTTCAGTCAGGTAACTTTGGCTCTTGACATTCCACTGAAAGTAAGCTTTTTATGACTTAGCTATCGCTAATGCTCTTAGACATATTAGTTTTTGCGATGGTGCCATTATACACAGTTTAGCTTTTCTATGAATACAGGAACCGCCTGGGAAAACGAACTTTGGTTGCTGGAGGTTGAGAGATGAAAAAAGTTGAGGATTGAAAGCAGTTGCGGATAAAAGAAAATTTCCTTTCGTACACTAAAGGAGTTTGAATCCATGATAAAAAGGAGATAAGTACAAACAACCAACACAGAATAGTTTTTTCCACATTTCGAAGATGCAACTCCCCTGGAAAATCAAATGCACGACTTACCTCAATCAACCAAGGTCCTGTATTGGGTGAACATTCATAAAAACAGATGTCTTGAATAAAATGTTCTTTACACCTCTTGGAGAGTGGAGCACAATGACCAAAATCAATGCTATACAGATCAATGGTAGATTCGTGGGCTATTCTCGTAATGTTTTCTGTACAGCACGACCTTTCCTTCCATGGAGAACACTGCAACGGGAAAATTATCCTGGACTAAAGCGGCTGTGGATAGTGAATTCAATAGAGGTCGTGCGTCTTATAGGTTTATGCTGCGGACACACCGATTTGTCACTGATTTTCGTCGCCGACTCGAATCTTGACACCATCCAATCAGAAATGAATTGGTGTTGTGTGTAGATTAGATTAGGTATCCCTACGTTCAACGGCATATAGTGTGCAATAAGGGATTAAGGGTTTTACAATGATATGCTTTGATTGGATAAGAAAAACGTCCCTACGCCGGAACTGTGGTATAAAACTTGTCAGATCGCAATGGAGACGAAAAATATCAGAAAGCATAAAGAAACCCATTTGTTATCTCATTTTAACTGGATTACCATCATATTATTTCATTTGAAGACTTTATAAAAAAAATTTCAAAAAAAAGGCTTTTACCTGTTTATAAAGAGATGCTTCCCTGCTTGGTTTAGTTTTATGGGTGGCACTATCTATACATAGGTTAGTTAAGGAGTCGAGGGTATCTCTCTTTAAAGCTGTAACTTGTAGTAATCCAAGGCAAAATATCGGTAATGCTATTGACAGCCACATGATGTGTCAAGCCCTGAAAGAATGAAATTAAAAGAATGGTGTCATGAAGATGGACAGAGAAAGTTTAACTGAACAGTAGCTTATGCTCTCTTGTTCGAATACACTGGAGGTTGGTTCATTGTTCCATCCCAACAACTTCCCGGACTTGCATCACTGCAAAGTATTGGAGTTAGGAGAATTGAGAGGGTTAGGGATGAATGGAGTAGTAGTAGTTAGGAAAAAGAGACAGGGAGGTGGGTAGATACAGGTGATGAGTAATGTGGAGTAGAATCGAAGAACAGGAAAGGAAAGAGGGGGATGAAATGAAGTAAGTAAGGGACCAAGGTTAAGAAGTTATTAAGAGACAGGCGATGAAAGTAAAGAGAAGTAGCGGAGAGATTGATGTGGTAGTTGGAGATAAGCGGAAGTAGCAGATGAAAAGAGAGCTTTGGGTTGATATGCCAAGGGACTTCTCTTTTATTGAGAGGTATATATTGTACCTCCGTGCAGTGCTTCGAATCACAGTACTCCGAAGACTTATTATACGTCGCAGTTGTCAATACTTTAACCTAATTAACATTAAGGACTAAAATTGGGTTTATAAAAAATTCATAAGATGCCTCAGTGGTCAAATAAAATTGTAATGAATTCCCTCCCTTGAGTTAAAACATACATAATACGTTACAATTTCCTCTAAAAAAATTTGATTCGCAAAAGACAATCAAAAATATTAAAATAAAATTAGAATTTCAATTATCGGTCTTGTAAGCCTACTGAAGACGTTTAAAGATGTAATAGGATACTTACAGACAAAAACGAAAAATGTTTCCGAAAAAAAAGGCAAATAAAATTTGAACACTTCCTCTACTTTCTTCAAAACTTTTAATCAAAATAAAAGGAAACTGATTAGGGAAAGAAATGATATAGGATATCTAAAACTATCATGTCACATGATTACCAATTATCGCAAGAAGTAGAACAATTTTAAAGAGGCACAAGTGGATGTCCCCGACTTCCGAGGGTGTGTAAATCCAGAAATGAAAACGGAGCCGAATAGACGTCTATGATACATTTTTGGAGAAGGAGGGGGGAGGGCATCATTCTATACTATCACCCAGACGGAAAGATTCATTGAAGAGGGTGTGCTTTTGTTTGAATATCTAGAAGATATATTTGATATATTTGATCAATGTATTTGATAAAGGGATACAGTCGTCGAAATATTTGCTTTACAAGCTGATAAAATTTGTATCACCTACGTGTATTACTGTGCAAAATGTTTTAATTGTACACGAATACGAAGTCAGATGTTATTCTGAACAGTGATATGGTAAGCATGTTTGTTTTAGGTTCCAGTTGGTAATGGAATAGCCCAGTCAATATCGAGTTGGATTGTTCGAATTCTCTTTAATTAATGAAATTTTGATGCTTAGGCTTTCAACCCGTATTACCAGTTAGCAAAGCGAAAATATAGATGGAAAGATCCCTTTAATAATATATGATAATATATTTAATACGTATGAATACTGGATGTATTTGACTTAAAGTTCAGATTGTCCAGTCTAGAAAAATAATTGAATAAGAAAAGGCAAGAAAGGGAGGGACAATAGAGACCTAAGTTGTTCATTCTCGTTCATAACACATAGATATAACTCTATATCAAAAACAGCTCTTTTCTCATTATTTCATTCAGTTACATTAGCCTATGACGGTCCTTAACAATCGGAACCGTTGGTAACATCTCTTACGAAAAGTAACTCTGAGACAATTTGACAACACAAAGAAAATGAATGCAATTTGAAATTATTATGTGAAATCTGATTGTGAAAGCATTTAAGCATTGATATTTCAGGGCCCGCTTGGATCTTATATAGTAAACTAGCGACGTAAAAAAAAACTCGTGATTTTCTGTAAAAGTTTCCTACAAAGAAAGCCATTTTAGAACATTTAAAGATGTTTTTATTAAAAATAAAACAAATACAAAATAGAAACAACCATAGCCATAATAGGGCTGGTACCAAATGTAGTTCCCGCATTCAAAATTTCTTTCGCACGTTGTAGAGCGACGGCATCGTTGGGATTTCCTTTGGAGCTGTCAAACCACATACGGAAACAAGGTTCACTATCAGGAACCATCTTCCAGGAATAATTCCAGACTTTACTGCAGAATTTAGCGGCAGAACCATACATATCTTCAAATGTCTTGCACGGACTGTTGGTTGGACAAGTTGCTACCCCTGCAATAGACATGAAAGCTAGTATCACTTGCCTAGTAACAACTGTACGGAAACAGCTGAGAGTTGCCGATTAAACTTATATGTACAAACAAGGGACATTACTCGTTACTGGCAAGGGACATAACTCGTTACAGACAAGTGGCATTACATGTTACTGGCAAGGGAAATAACTCGATACTGATAATCCACATAACCCTTTACAATGCTCGTTACTGACAAGGGACATAACTTGATACTAACAAGGGAGGTAACTTACCTGTCGTCCAGTTAAAATCCATACCCCAATTCTCTACACAGGTTAAGTCATATTTACAATCGTTATACCAGTTAGTACAGTCACTTTCACACAGTGGTGCATTTTTTGCCTTTTCCATCACATATTTATTGTTGGGTTTCTGCCGATAGATAATAGTATTTATTAAAGGCATTGTAAAGATGTTTTCTTAACTTTTTCTGTGTATCGGGGACACTGATAACATCGATTTGCACCATTCAAATTTTCAGTCAAACGCCTGTACTTCTTGTAATTCCACTAAAACTAAGCGTTTAATGACTTAAGCCTGCCACAATCGAGAGGAACTAGCCGAGTTGCCTGCCCCAAGAGCTGTTTCCTCCATGTGCGCTGAAGTTTTAGTGAGATTTCTGCCTCGAGAGGCTGTGAGGAAAACATCTATCCTGTTTGGGTGACTTCGATTGGATCCCGGGTTAGACTCGAGTCATTCGAGTCACATCCGAACTGTAATATTTTGTAGAGTTGAGACTCGTGTGACGTAATATTTGACCTAGTTAGTAGCTCAGGGACGACCCTCACTATTTGGAAAGTCAAGCACGAAGCATGGAAGGTCTATATATGATCAAAAGTCCCGCCATATTGTCTTAACTCGATCAAATTCGATTGCGACCCTCACTCGGCTAGCTCGCTGAAGATAATTACGTAATTTCTCCATCAACTCTAGCTCGACCACAGAGGTTCAATCGAAGTCACCCTTTGATATTTTCTGCCTCAAGAGGCCAGAAAATCATCATGTGAGGGCGTCTAAGCTGCCAGCTGAGCTAGAAAAAGTAGCTAACTAATAGAAACGCGTTGACGGATCATTATGGTAACCGTGAATGATGCAATTTTAGAAGATCAACTTGCTGAACATGGCAAGACTACCCATGTCTATACGCTATTTATTCTGCAGAATTCCAAAACAGGGAAATGAAGCCATTTTAATTATTAGTTACGTGACACGGATGCAGTTCGAACTTTCTTCGGTTGTTTTTGTTGACGTACGGAATTGGCCGAAGATTTTCTAGTGAGACAATAGCTCTCGTCTGCGGAGAAAAATGTAGTGAGAATGTTGCTCAGGTGACAGTCTCTCGAGACAGGCAGCTTAGCAAGTTCCTCTCGTCTGCGGCAGACTTTAGTTACTGCAAAGGTCCTGAGATATTTTAGCAGTCTTTGCAATAGTGCCATCATACACGGTTTAACATTTCTATAATTACAGGAACCACGTGCGAACACGTACTTCACTGGTAGGTTGCTGGAGGTTGAGGGATAAAAAAAGTTGAGGGTTGAAAGAAGTTGGGGATAAAAAAAAGTTGCCCGGAGTTTGAATCCATAATAAAAGTACAAACAACCAACATAGAATAGTTTTTTTTCCACATTTCGAAGATGCAACTCCCCTGGAAAATCAAATGCACGACTTACCTCAATCAACCAGGGTCCTGTATTGGGTGAACATTCATAAAAACAGATGTCTTGAACAAAATGTTCCTTACACTTCTTGGAGAGAGGAGCACAATGGCCAAAATCAATGTTATACAGATCAGTGGTAGATTCGTGGGCTATTCTTGTAGTGTTTTCTGTACAGCACGACCTTTCCTTCCATGGAGAACACTGCAATGGGAAAGTTGTCTTGGACTAAAGCGACTGTGGATGGTGAATTGAATAGGGGTTGTGCGTCTTATAGGTTTATGCTGCGGGAACACGAACAGTCTTTGTCACCAATTTTCATATGCTTTGATTGGATCAGCGTAACGTCGTTACACCGTAACTGTGGTATAAATCTTGTCAGATCACTATTGAGACGACAAAAACATCAGAAACAAAAAGAAACGCATTTGTTATCCAATTGTAACTGGATTGTCATCACAAATATTACATTAGAAGACCCTTCAATTTTTTTATTTTTGTTGTTGTTGTAAAAAGCCTTTTTACCTGTTTATAAAGAGATGCTTCCCTGCTTGGTGTTGTTTTATGGGAGGTGCTATCTATGCAGAGGTTAGTTAAAGAGTCGAGGGTATCTCTCTTTAAAGCTGTAACTTGTAGTAATCCAAGGCAAAATATCGGTAAAGCTATTGACGTCCTCATGGTGTGCCAAACCTTGAAAAATTAATTTGTGAGGAAGAGATTGTTGTTGGAGAAGAGACCGATGTCAACGATAAGTATTAGGACTGACAGAATGCAAAAGGGGTCTGTTACTAGGGGAATTCTCTTATAATGAAAGGTACTTATTGTACCTCCGTGCAGTGATTCGAATTACAGTACTGAGAAGACTTATTGTAGGGACGCAGTGTCATAATTGGATATATGAAATATTCATAAGATGCCTCAGTGGTCAAATAAAATTGTAATGAATTCCCTCCCTTGAGTTAAAACATACATAATAAGTTACTAATTCAACTAAAATTTGGATTCGCATATCATAAAAATTTGGTAGCCATTGAAAACGTTTCAAGACGTAAAATACTCTCAGAATTTTTTTTCGGAAAAAATTACAAAAAAGAATTGAAATAAAATTGAGAGCGTATTTCAACCAAAGTAGGCCTACTGAAGACGTTTAAAGATGTAATAGGATACTTACAGACAAAAACGAAAAATGTTTCCGAAAAAAAGACAAATAAAAATTCGAAATAAAATTCGAACACTACCTCTACTTTCTTCAAAACTTTTAATCAAAATAAAAGGAAACTGATTAGGGAAAGTAATGATATAGGATAACTAAAACTTATCATATTACATGATTACCACTTATCGCAAGATGTAGAACAATTTTAAGAGGATGTCCCTGACTTCCGAGGGTTTGTAAATCCAGAAATGGAAACGGAGACGAATAGACGTCTGTGATACATTTTTCGAAGGAAGGAGGGGGGCATAATTCTATACTATGCCGAATGAATCATTTAACTTTAGAACAATGATATACAATAATTAACCTCACAAGAAATGTCGACATTGTTGTCTGATTTTTCACTATAAACTGGAGTGATGTCCCTTTAAAGATATGGATTAGTTCAATTGCTTATCTTGAAAATGAAGCTGGCAATTTACATCCAACTTTCCTTCTTTTGATTGAGATAATAAAATGGAGTTTTAGGTTTCACCTTTCCGCACTTGATTGAGCCAATGAAATTAAAGTTATACGTCCAAATTTTCGACTTGATTGATCTTATGAAATAAAACGTCCATCTTTTCTCCACCTGGTAGGGCTAATAAAATGGAGCTTTACGTTCAAATTTCCCACAACTGATATGGCTTACAAAATGAAGTTTTACGTCTTATTTTCCGCATCTGGGTAACGAAGATGAGCTACATCATGAATTGTATATGAGTAAAAATACCCATTATGATTGGGTATGAACATGCAAATCCCCCCCCCCCCCTTCAAATCTGTTAGTCACTGACCTCAATAGAATTCTTTCGTTCGGATCCGCGGTTCCTTTCCGGGGTGAAAAACTCTGATTTAAATCATACTAGCCTTTTTCTAGTTTAGCAAAGAATGCGAAATAACACTACACTTCTAACTTTTTCTCGTTGGGTGTTGTCGTCGGTTTGGTCATGTTTTTATTTTGTTTGTTTTATTTGTTTGTTTTTGTGACTTCCGACTCTAATTTATTATTTTCTTATTTTTTCCCATTTTTCAATCCTAGGCCTTGATAATTATTACCACTAGGTTTCTGCGACAATCTACGCCATTTTAAATGGGTGTGTTTATCAGACCTAATGCGATTTGCGGAATTAAGGTCATAGGCAGTTATTTAAAAGTCACGAAGTAATCGAATATAGTCGATCAAGGTCATTGGACAATATCTTAAAGGTCACCGTTCACCATTTTCGGGGGTCAAAATTACTTTGGTCTCAGAAACAGGAATTGTTCAGCTAAGCTAATCAGTAATATTGCCCAGAGCTTAACATCATTAGCCTTCTAAGCGATGTGTATCCACAATTATCCTTGCAATGACGACTCGCCTTTTTCAAGGCTCCGCCATAATGTAGAACGGTTAAGGACTGGATAATGAACAATTATCCATACATCGTTTTTCTTATTATAGACCTTATCATCGAGATGAACAATTTTCAGGTATCACAATTTTCATGCAGAGAATAAACTACAGTGAAAGATAAAAGAAGTGAAGTTCCTATGATTTAATGTATTTTTGAAGGAATTATGAGGTTTTCATACAGTTCTGGTACTTCTGTAGACTATTTACATATACACTCAAGTCAACCTTTGAATATGGTGATTCGTGGCCTTTAAGGGTGTACATTTTAAATATCTTCTAATAAAATATTTTAAGTATCAAATTTAAGGTTTATATCTATCTAATATAGACCAAGGGTCAGACCTAATCAACCCCATATCATATAAGTGAATAATAACCTATTATATAAGTCCTCGCCATTGATCGACAATCAGATATCATTAACAAATCAATTAAAATTGGACAACAATGAATCTACATGGAACTTTAAATGAAATGGAGTTTTTCTAAGGGATGCCCAGCTGATAAACCTTTCTACCTAATGAACATTATTACCTATGTGGACTCTCTAAAAGGGATGCCTTTGTTCTTGTCTTTCACAATGTCAAGCCAGGTTGGTAGATGACAGGTTAACGTTCGGTTCCAGCGGACGTTGATATCGCAAAATAAATGTCAAGCAGTTACGAACTTCGTACTTATACTTGTACCTTGACTGTAATAGCCACTATGTTTGTATCTCGAAATACAGCGGTTTGATTGGATTGTACGCCAGCGAATATAGCCAAACAGAGCCCTCGAAACATATGACTTTGTGTTCGCAGACTTTCTGTCGAGGCCTCTAATTGGCTTATAAGCGAGCGTACAATCCAATCGAATCTCTTCATTTACAAACATCCATGATACAAGAAATGTGACTATTGCAGTCAATGCATAAGTACGAAGTTCGTTATAGCTTGACATTGTGGAGAAGTGTCATGCAATGCCACGCTATGAGCGAGCAAGGGGCCAAATCACCGAGTCATAGTTGTCCGTCTTCAGCAGTCTAATCCGGAGAAGACAGTTTAGACGCAATATAAATCTTGAGTGTCCACAAAAATGGTTTTTCGTTTTTGGTTTGTGACCTCATGTGTCTTCAATTTTAAACTGCCACATTTTGTACGCCAATTATCTGACGATCTGGCGTCGTGGTAAGACCCAAAACGTACCTTTAATTATTTATTTTGACTTCTCTATTGTATATAAACTGACTAAACAGTGTGGCCGTGTCATCTGTAAACTGTTTACCTAACTGAAATAATGAGTTAGTTTTGAGATTATTAGTTTGAAGAAATATTTAAAGTCTAAACCGAATGGCGGAAACCTTGGTCACAATATAAAAATAAATAATATTTGTTAATTTAGACAATTTCGTCATCGTTTTTCTGGATTTATCCCACGATTGTGGAATATTTTTCTATCTTCTGTTTGATATTAACATTATAGCCTAGTAATGATGTACATGTGTCACTTTATCATTTGTTATAACCTCTCAAAATGTTGGTGAATATTAGCCACAATATGACATGATGAATTTATGAAAATATCCTCCAACAAGAGCCAAAAAAAAAAAATTAAAATCGCCATAGCAATAAATTAAATGTCATTAATTTGCTGTGATAATATTCGAGTTCGTATGTTTACTTATTGAAAAGAAAGGCTCACAATACTTCTCCTTGCCTCAAACCTTTTTTACTACATGAAACGTGCGCAATTCTGTTATAAAAATAGGACAGTAATTATGTTGGTAATTAAAATCATAATTTTCAAAGACAACTTGGGTATTTATTTGGATCAGTATATGTTTTACAATTGCCATAACTGGGTCTTCAATAAATACAAAGTTTGAGTTCGCATCGTAAAAAATAGCATTGACTTTATCATAAATATATATCGATAAAAAGCCAAACAGCATCACGTAAAAACAAATCATTAAAGTAGCTCACAGTCTATGGATTTGAAACAATCTTCCACAGAACGATTTTCTTTAATACTAATTCGAATAAAAGGCAATTCTTGGCAAATGTTTTCTTTGAATTAAAACCTTCCCCGAAATGAATGAAAATCTCTCGTATCAATTTAGATCTGAAAGTGTGGTAGATGGATCACGGCATGGCACTGCTGCCTCATTAACCCCTGCCTAATCATCGTTAATTACTTTAATGTTTTCATAAGTACACGCGAGTTTACACTTGCAGAACGAATTAGTAATATAAGACAAAACGACGTCTAAAGCTCTCTTGTAAGTGCTTCAACATTCGGCCTCTCCCATCAAATTTCGTAACCAAATCAGCTATTAATTTACCTCGTCTTGTCAAAAGCTAATCATTCTTTCTTTAATTAGCCTTAAACGTTTCCCACCCTTACTCAAGAGGTTTTAAATGACTACGATTGACCCTGACGGAACACTTTCGTGTCAACGGTTCCGACTGTCATATTGAATTTAGCAATGGCAACATGTGAGACTACATCAAAGTGATATAAAAGCACAGTGTAAAAGCAATGGAATGTAGATTCTTGTCCTGGCTTTGAGCGACTCCGACAATTTTCAGCTATCGTAGATAGATAACTTATCAGATAACCTGGTCTGATGGAAGCGGAAGAGGCCCTGTCCTCAAGATAATCAGTGGGGATAGCACTTGAAGAACATGGACCCTGAACGGAAAGATTCAACGCATCAGTCCACCGACACCGAACCCCTGCCCAAAACGTGACAAACCCATTTCCGGTACTCTCTGTATCAAAAGGATAACGCATCTAGGCAGAAAAGACGCGAAATCCCAGATGAAGCCCAAAATCATTCCAACGCCTCTGTGTTGTAGCTCTCTAGGTGTGACAACCACATCCAATCCGACACCTCTGAAGTAGGCGAGGTGTGATTTCTCTATGTTTTGTTTTCATTTCATTCACAGCGGAGGTTCCAATGATCCCGAGATAAACTTCCTTCTGCCGCGAGAACTCGCCGAGAGCTCATTCTATTGCACTCCATGACGTCTGCTAATTTGTCTTTAATTGACTTTTAATGAATTTCTACTTTTCTCTGGTTTATCTTTTACTGCAGTCTGTTTTTAAATGGAACCACGTCGGTCTGCAAAATAATGCATTTAATGCCATTTATTTGATTAAGTATTTTAGAAAAATTGACACAAAAAAAATTTGAATTTCTAAAAGTTATTCAGTTCAGAAAAGCTTTCATGAAAGAAGTATTTGGAAAACGTTTTACAAATATGACGTGATCCGTGACAATTTTTTCTGTCAACGTAACATTTTTATGACAAATATTTTTTTTCTCAACAAAGTTTTTATCAAGAAATATTTATTATTTATATATTTATTTTTTTGCAATTTTTCTCACAAAATTCTACCTCGAACGAATTAAGAACATCTGGTTCGGATAGAAACCAATACATTCAATTTATTGGTACATTGTCTCAATGATTTTTCTAGATTGCAGATAATCTATCTTTAAATTTCTTTCGATTTCAAGAAAAAAATTCATGACATAATGTTTTGAATAAATTTTTTACGGTAATTTTTTTTTAATACTCATGAGTAGTTTTTGTAGTTCATGTACAAATATAAAGAATAGAAAGGGACACAGAGCGCAACCTTGTCTTACTCCTTTTGTAGTAGAAATTATTTGTACAGAACTGAAGACTATTACAGAACAGTATAAAGGCTGAGAAAGGTTGATATCTTTGAATTAATAGACGAATAAAGAAATGTGGTAAATCTGAATATTTCGTTTTCGATTTGAGAAAATTTGCAACACTCAGCAAAACCAATTTGGAAACGTTGGATTTAGGCTCCATTTAAATTCACAATTACAGAAATTATAGTTTACAAATGGTCAGAGGATTGCACAGTTTGCTGTGATAAAAAAAGAGTTGATGTTTATCATAACTTTGTGTATAATACATTTTAATCATTTTAATCCATGGCGTTGTTTGGGTGGTTTTCTGAATGCAAAAAAATAAACAATTTTACGTGAGAGAGAGAGTCAGAGAGCACTCTATCACTGTTGTGGTGTAGGTTAAGATCCATCAATGCATAAGGGAACACAGAAAATAGCTCGGTAAATTTTAAACAAATGTTATCAATAAGATGAAGGGAAGAAAGCACGATGGCAATGAAATAACATCGACCAATTTCCTTTACCTCAAGATCAAACCAGGGTGGAATAATGAGACCGTATCGTGTTGACAACCTGCTCTTACATTTTAATGACATAATCAGGAATTTATTAACAACATGCTTCCAAAACCACAGGGGCACGCGACTACTTAATATGATACTGCTCTACCATTGGTCTTGCCATTAGATTGGTTCCTAGACATGATTGACACCTCTAACCCCGCCCATATTCCAAAAGATTTGTTCCTCTGCCTGAAAATATGATAAATATATAAGTGCTTTAATTGTTCTCTTGGGAATTGTTTTAAATCTTTTGTGCCAAAATATTAAATGCCAGGAATTTCATGGATTGATTAATTTGTGTATGGAATTGGATCATTTCCAAAGACCAACAAGAATATTTCGAAGAGTTACGAATTAAAAAGACAGATAAGAGTATTGGAATCGAATTATGAGATTGATTGGGCAGTGTTCGAATAGTGAAGAATTGAATAACTGTCTGAGACAGATATTGAAATATCGAAACGAATTTTTAGACTAATTGGGTAGTTTTCGGAGACCGAAAAGGGGATCGAAGTTTGCGACGAATCGCTATATTTAAATTTGAGTCGTAATTTGTATTTGTAAATAATTATTCAGTTTAGGGCTCAGCCGCAATTATCATTTGTGTTTTTGTATCAAAGTAACTGTAAAATGTGAGAAAAAAATTAACTGCATTATTGGTATGACTTATGAAAATGATATTCATCTACACCAAGTTTTCAAACGAATCTTAAAATCAGTGACAATGAACGAACGAATCAAAAGACCCTCATTTATGATTAAGGATATTTTAGGAAATTCGGAAACAACTTGTGGAAGCGGATCACATAGAATTGAACGATTGACCACAAAACCATCTTTGCCCACCTTACCAATTCCAAGTTCCGTACATTTACCGTATTTCTCCTACCCATCAACACCGATTCCACATGGTCTGGTTGGAATGAGACACCCAGGGCACGTGCCTTTCATGCTACCCAGAGGTGAGTTAAATAGACGTCTGTTTTAGGGGATTTTTTTAAAGTTCTAATATTGTAAATATTGCATGAGATAGAAGGGTTGGTTGGTCGATGACACGTCCATTTCCAGCTAACAACAAAGGAGAGAGAGTTTAAAAAATAAAGTTAAAAACTGTTCATTGATTGCAAACTTTCAGAGGCCACGAACACTTCTCTGTTTATATTCCCTTAGTAAAAGCCCAAAAGGTCAGTATCCAACAACAGGGTTATGAGTGGTATATAAACACCCTTCAGAAAAAAATTAAAGAAATAATTTTTTCTCAATTTGAACAAAACTAACTATATCCAGAGTTGACAAATTCAGTAGAAGAGCAGCTTAATGATTTCCGAATGTATGTTTTAATATTGAAACTGTATAATGTAAGTTGACGTTGTCATGTACACAACGTCACAATCAAACTGACGATAAAGGGCATCCCTGTTTTAAACCCGTTTCAAACAAAACAAAGTTAAAACAAAACTGAAAAATATGGTTTTCTACCAAACAATAAATATTGTGGATTTTTGCAATAATTTCCTTTTCAATTTTTTTAAATTGCTCTCAGCAGAAGCAATTACAGCTTCTTGACAGTTCATAGAAAATATTTAAAAAAGGAGTAAGGAATTAATAATCACGAATTTATGAATAATGCATTAATAAATGTATAACATAACATCGTCATACTCTTTTTGCATAATTTTCTAAGGGGACAATCGAAATTCCGAATGTGCAATTTGTACAAAATATAAATAGTATTAACTTAAAAAGAGCAGCCTTGCCAAATTGTATTTAAGCTCTCCAATAATTTTTGGAACACTTAATCAAGATTGTTTAATATGCCCACTAGATGGACACGATAGCGTAGTATGATCTTGTCCCATTGTGACCACAAAAGATCGTCGTTGTGACTTAGTGATGAGCACAATCTAAGAGTTAGTTTAAAAACTTAGTTTAGTATGTCTTAGTCCCATTCTGACGTCCTTGTGTCGAGCACAATCCGCTAGCGAGTTGCAGACGATAATTTAATATGAAAAAGACAATTACTAGTAGAAATCCTACATTAACCAAATTAACTGGTTAGCTGTCATCCCTCCTTAACTTGACGACTCAAATTGGCTTAACTTCTTGTTTACATTTGAAAATTTGATAAGCAAAAAATGGAAACGAGTTGAAAAGATAGACACATTTTACGTAACCGAAAGAGTTTTTTGTTTATTGAAGAAATTGCGTATAGCCTATTGGCATGTTTGAGAGCTGACGACCACCAAATGTGTTTACTTAAGATAAAAGCCGACGGATTTTTTCTTATATCTTAAAGACTAACTAATTATGTGATAATTTTTTTCTTGAATTTTTTTACCATAGAAATACTTTGTTCCGTTTTACAGGATGAAATTCAGTCGGTATTTTAATTATCCAACAAGATTTTTAAGAAGGAAATTTACACCATAGCGAGGATAAAAACAAAAACGATATTATTTTTATACTTGTCAGATTTGAGGGTGATTTAGTTGTCAGCTAGACTTACCGCACACGATTCCAAATTTGAATTTAAAATATAAATTCAGGGAACGATAGTCGGGAATTTTCTAAAAAATCTAAAAGCGAATAAATTTGTAAATTGCACGTTTCTTTTTTAACCTGAAACATTTTTATTTTCCGATCAAGACGTTGTAAAATCAACATGTTTTCAAGTAATTTAAATCAAAATGAAGTCATTTTATTTTGGAGCAAGAACAGTAACAGTACTGCCTTCAAGCGTAAAATTAAAATAAAAGGTGTATGTATTGTACTTACAAATCCTCTTCCATTGTTGATTATTCCTCGAACTCAACACTTTCGATCTGTTATATAAAAACTAAACTATTTCTAAGCATAAATATTCATTTATTACACGAAAATAAAAGAAAATTGTTTGAGTAATATTCAGTAAGTCCAAAATGTTTCAGACTTCAAAGCCAAAGATAGAAACTGAAAATTAACGAATAGTTATTGAATTCTTTTATATTTTTTTCAATTCAGCTTTAATAATTAAGAAAAACAAAAATGATGATTTACGAAATGATAATTTAGAATACAAAAATGATAATTTAGAATACAAAAATGATAATTTAGAATACAAAAATGATAATTTAGAATACAAAAATGATGATTTACGAAATGATAATTTACGAAATGATAATTTAGAATACAAAAATGATAATTTACGAAATGATAATTTAGAATACAAAAATGATAATTTACGGAATGATAATTTAGAATACAAAAATGATAATTTAGAAAAAAAATGATAATTCAGTAAACTTAAAACATGATTAAAAAAATCATGAAATATATCTTACACGAATTACTTTAATTTCGTTCAGTGTCATCGCCAATTTGTTTTACAAAATTAATAATAAAAAAACCAAAGAAACGAACTATCTAAAATTGTATCAAATGGAATTTTTTTGTTACAAGACGATAACAAAAAGCTGCTCATCAATGAGTTCACAGTTTCAATGATTCGAACCCGAAAGCACCAGCAACCACTTATGAGTTTATTTATTTGACTACAAGTGAAGTGGTGAAGGTGTTGATAGCCCTTGGAAGTAAAGTTGTATCGAATTCAAGAGGACCTTAGTCAGATGTTAGGCTCAGATTACACCTGGTGGAAGGTTCGAACATGCGAATTGGCAAGAATATGTCGCTAGTCGAATGCCTTCGTAGGAGAGTGTGGAGGGGAGGGGTTGTATTTGTAGGTGGGGGGGGGGGGGGGGTGCATCATTACACCATCACATACAATATGGTAATCTGAGATGTAGGGCCTATAGATAAAAAATTAATAATAAGGTCTTAAAAAATGAAATTTAATGAAACTAACGCTAACGTCATTGGTCAAAACAGGAACGAACACTACCAAATAGTCAACAGTAAAGAGGTATAAAACCACGTGCGGGGATTAAAGAGAGTAGCGACAAAATCGAGAACAGTTTTCCATGTTCGACGATTCACATCCATTTGATACCGTTCAAGCTGATTGGTTCATGCGAGATCTCTAAACAATATTGCAAAAAAATAGTGCCAATGTCCTGGCAATAGTTAACACATTGCATAGAGCATGGCGTTTAATGATTGACCGACTGCTATAAACTGAATGGTCGCGGATTCTGACCTCTCAGATCGACAATCGATTCAACATTTAATAGAAAGTAGAACGTGAACAACTGGTAGCAACAGCGATCTTGTGTTGTCTGTGCTTAATCTATGTCCAATTCAGTGGATTCGATAAAATGGGAATCGCAGATCGTCCCGGGCCTGATGTTACGATGCTGTGCGAACGTTAAGCAATATTAAAGAATACTGCCCTTTACAATGAACATAAAATTAAATCCTCAAACTTGCATTATTAAATTAGACAGGGATTCTGTTGTATATTTATAACAATAGTTAAGTCCACTGATCAATATATACTATTATTGACCAAGTAATATAATTTGATTTGTATGTTAATTCTAAGAGGTAGTATACCTTTAAATAATATATACAGCCGCTGTGAATAATAAAAAGAATAAACAAGCCTCTCTATATCGTTATGATATTCTCTTTATCACCAGCTGATAGAAATATGCGGCGCTTTTGATGTTTATATTCTCTGTTTTTGTGTGCAAGGGGCATCTTCCTGTCCAAAGGCATTGACTAGGGGGAAGTGGACTCCGCGTGATTCAAATTACACAAGTATTCAGTCAGATGGAACCACGTGTTATTAAGAAGGGTATTTAGATATTGTATAATATCTAATACTTCAAATCTTTGGAATCCTTTACGTGGTTTCCCTGGTACAAATTAACTAAGCCTGGCTCCGCACGTGTAACTGTTTGTTTTCAAATATGAGAGACAATTCTCGAAATTGCATGTAGGAACTTCGTCTTATACCTTGACTACAAAAGTCACCACAAAACGTACATTTGTTAATGAAAGTGAAGCGATTTGTTTGGATTGTACGATAGCGGATACAGCCAATCAGAGGCCTGGACAGAAAGTCTGCAAAGAATAAGCAATACCGATTTTCTGCCGAGGGCTCTAGTTGGCGTACAATCCAATCAAATCGCTGCATTCTGTGATGGGAGGTTGGCTTGACTTTGAGTTACATCAGCTTGTGAAGCAAATAATTATATCAGAACAAGTTAGGACTAAGTAGCAGTGCATCAAATTGTAAAAGAAGAAGAATTGGTTGAAGTCTTATCATAAATGGGCCGATTCTTTGATATGTCATTTCGGTGAATCTAATTCTGCCCAATGTAAAATGAAGAGTTCATTATCGACCTTATTAATGACAGCTTAATAAGATTGTGTATGATATTTAGCCGACTACCTGTCCAGACAAATCTAACAACCGAAGTTAAGATAACGTAAATAATGTGTTTTCTCTGGGGATATAGGTGCCACTTATAAACAATTTCACCACCTTAATGAATGTCATTTCCTTTATCATAGTCCCGGGCCAAATACGTTTAGAACTAACACACGTTCGGCGGAAGTCACTTGACGTTTTTGTAAGGCGTGAAGGGAAACGACGTCAGCGATTGGCTCATTGTATTCTCGTTAAATCTCGGCTACACGCGGTAGGGCCGTTAACGATTATCCAAGTCGATGTCATACAGATGTGCTGGTATAAACTCTAATTTGAGACGTTTAAACAAATTACCACGAGTTTCGTAGTGACATTTCTACTAGTTCCTAGCCCTGAGCAGTAACTGCACGTTTTTTAATCTTCACTACTCTACCTCCACGAATTCCAAAATGGAAGTGGCACACGTGGCAACCACGTGGTGTTACTGATAGCGAAGTTTGGCAAGTGGAAAAGTGAAGAATAATTCACTACATTATAAACGCATATGGAAACGGAAGAAAAAATTGAGGTTTTGTCGATGATCTTTTTCAGAACTCACACGATGCCAAAGGAAATGAATGAAATGTATATATTTCTATAAGACTTAGGACAATTATCTCCCCTTATCAATTTGGTAATTGTACGCTGAGTAAAGCCATGAATAGTGATTTGATTGAAATATTATGAGATCAATATGGTGAAAACGTGTGTAACATCCGTTCTCGGCCTTACCCACCTTACTCATTTCCCCGCAGTAAAGTTCAGTGCATCTGCAGTGTCAACATTACCCTCTCATACCATTGTTCCGAGTATGGGCGACCCGATCAACAGGGTGATCGATGAAAGATCGATGCCAAGATGTTTTTGCCAAGGCTTTTCTTGTCGAGAGATTTGTCCAAAGACCAATTTTACTTGTAGAAAAGATCCTCGTGAACCTAAACGGTTATTTCTTTCTTTCTTAAAATGGATAGGCGGCGTAATAACAATAAATGTACATTGATGTGACGAACAATAATTTTGAAATGATATTTCAGTTTTCAAGTCATACCGATATTCGCGAAATCATTAGCGAATGAACGCAACTAACAAACACATACAGAAGTTTTGGCTTTCTCTTTTCAGGGTGTTATCCAGTGGAACCCTTTCTAGAACCACGCGACCCTTCATTTCCGGTACCTATACCACTTCCGGTGTATATTCGCACCAGATCGCCGATGGGAGATTGTTTCTCCAAACCAAAGAAATGTAGACGGAGTCGCACAGTGTTCACAGAATTACAACTCATGGGTTTGGAAAAGAAATTTGAAAGCCATAAATATCTGTCTACTCCTGACAGAATAGAACTCGCGGAAACTTTAGGTTTGAGTCAAATACAAGTTAAAACCTGGTACCAGAACAGACGAATGAAATGGAAGAAACAGGTAAATAGAGCGTAATTCATACATTTATTGATTGATCCATTAGTTTGATCTTTCATTCATTCATGTTTCTCTTTCTATTATATTATATTTATTTATTTATTTATTTATTTATTTATTTATTTATTTATTTATTTATTTATTTATTTATTTATTTATTTATTTATTTATTTATTTATTTATTTATTTATTTTTTTATTTATTTATTTATTTATTTATTTATTTATTTATTTATTTATTTATTTATTTATTTATTTATTTATTTATTTATTTATTTATTTATTTATTTATTTATTTGTTTATTTCTTTCTTTTTTTCTTTCTTTCTTTCTTTCTTCCTTTCTTTATTTATTTCTTTATTTATTTATTTATTTGATTCCATGATTTATTCATTTAATTCAATAAATTATAGTTATTTTAATTGATCATTTTATTTCAATTCTAGTATATAATTTTGATATATCTATATTTTAAGGTTATGTTAAAAGGTGGAACAGAACCGCCCACCAAACCAAAAGGAAGACCAAAGAAAAATTCTCTCGAAATCCCAGAACTATTTAATTCCAACTGTAGTTCAGATATTGTGGTCGACTCGGATGAAGATTCGGAAGAGGAGTTTATTGACATTACTAATAACGATCACATTGTTTCATCTTCATCAGTGGACAATTAGGGTACTTGGAAATGGAGTTTTACATCGATTAACAAGTAAATGGTGTACAAGTATCTTCCATGGATATTAAAAATTATGATTTTTTTGTTTCACCCTCATCAGTGGACAATTAGGGTACTTGGAAATGGAGTTTAACAAGTAAATGGTGTACAAGTATCTTCCGTGGATATTAGAAATTATGATTTAATTGTTTCACCCTCATCAGTGGACAATTAGGATACTTGTGACTTGAAATGAATTGAAGTTTTGCGTCCAAAAACAGATTTTGCAAAACTAAATTTTTTATGGACAAATGGTATATATGTATCATTCTTGGGCTTAACAATAATGATCGATGTGCTTTATTTTCATTAGTGGACAATTAAGGTATTTGTCATTGAAACAAAATGAATTTTTGAGTCCAGTGAGTATTATTTAACAATACTGAATTTGTATGGGAAAATAAAGTACGTATAAGTACTGTATCTTCTATGGAATATTAAGATTATAATCAGTGATTTTCATCTTCATCAGTGGATGATTAAGATACGAGTAACTTATAATAAGATGAAGTTTTCAGTCATATAAGAAGTTATTAAATGCTTTATTTCGATGGGAAATTCGTGGACGCAAAAAATGCAAATTTATAACAAAAGTGGAGCTTCATTTGAAATCAAATTGGAATATCGGAAACCGATAATTGTTACTTGGATTTCAGTTGTATGGAAAGGACAGATTTGCTATTATTTATTTATATTAATGCGCTATAATATACAGTGTGTTAAAACTAATGTGCTAGACCAGGTCTGATTCCCTCCGACAACTCTCGGCCGTTTACGGAAAGCTGCTTCTTCTAGCCGATCTTTTACAGTGGATCGTTTGGTCAAATGCTTTTTTTTTCAAAATTTAAATCAGTGATATATGTATGTTGCATTCGTTTCGTTTCGGATAAATTGGAAGTGGAAAATATGGTTGTACGTACGATACCAAAATTCCCAATTCATCTGATAGGTAACGAATGTAGCATTAAAACAACCCTTGAATAAGTGCTCTCAGTTTTAAAATAAATTTAGAAATTTTACAGTTTTCGAATTCTGGAAGGCAAATATACAGACATAACAAATTTATAGTATAAACATTAATATTAAAAAAATCTTCTAATATCAAACGAAACATGTTGAATTTGGCATGGTGCTTTAGTTATACCGAAAGCGCCCCGGGCCATAATTAACTTATAGACCATTTTTGATAATTGTTTTCATCTGTTCTTATTGTTATTATCATATTGTATAGTTTTAAGGAATAAAAACCTTTTTTGAAATTAATAAAAAAAGTTGGGATAATTTGTTGGAGAATCTTTTGTCGGATTTTTGTTTGGAAAAATGTTTGTATTGCTGAAATTCAGCTCCATCAGCTGATAAAGTAAATATTTAAAGTACTATACAGACAACTGAAATTGAGCTCCAACAGCCAATATTTTAATGACCGTACAGATAGCTGAAATTGAGCTCTGTCAGTTCGTAAAGAAACTATCCAGACAGGTTAAAATCAGCTCTATCAAGAAGACAATGTAGATAACAGAAATCGAGTTCTATCACCAGCAAGTAAATATATATAACTTTATAAAAATTCGGCTCTATCAGGCAGTAAATAAAATATTTACTTAAATGACTATACAGAGAGCTGAAATTGAGCTCCATCTGCTGTTAATTAAAATATTCTGGTACGGTATCCCTTTAAGACCACCGATAATATTTGATATGAAAGAAGAATTCACGCCATGTTGTCTAATCGACAGCTAAAGGGTTAAGACTAGTTATCAAAGGATTATGAAATTATACAGATATTATGATGTATAATCGCACGTGTTTGTCGTTTGAATACTGTTGTTTTTAACAACATTTTGTTTTCTTTTCATTTTGTCGTTACGATCCCCTGTTAGGCTTGGAATGGCTACAATTTTTGTGATCATCAAAGACCGGAGTAAATGGACCCGAGGGAACTTACATAATTTTATAATTATGTGTGATCGCACCGTTTAGATTGACAAATGAATTACCGTATATTTGTGAATATAATGCGCAGCAGTTATAATACGCATAGGGTTCTAGTAAGGTTGATTTTATTTTGTAAACTAATGCTGTTTAAGAAATTTTACACAAGAATATGTTTCATTGCATATTCAATAATTAGTCTAAAAGTTTCTGAAGTAGAGTTTGAACCAATTCATCTCATTAGTTCCTATTTTAACTCTATTTATCCCACTAGTAGATATCAATACACAAGAAATGATATAATCAAATATTTTAATAAATACAGAACAATATACAAAAGTAACAAAATGTAACCAGTTTTATACAGATCTATCACTTATTTAGGGGCATGGGTCAGGATACAGATGCCCCCCCTCCACAAAGAAGGCCAATAAAGGACCATTCACTGGTGTATTTTTATGCTTGAATATTTACACATTTAGACACCCTGCTCCCTTCTCTAAAAAGTCAGACAAAGTTCAAACTTTTTTCACTCACTAATATCATGAATTTATTCTCGTCAGAGAAATTCTGACCCTATTCACAGACTCGGACAGATGATTTTGATGGTTACAGAACTGGGCAAAGGGTTGTTGGAGTTTCTCTGATCAAATTTCAACACTAAAATGTCTGGCATTAAAAATTTTGTTATACCATCCCTGAATTACAGTAGAGCTTCTGTTTATCTTTCAAGCAATTGTTTATCTATTTCACTGAAAATATAAAATGCATGTTGCAATTCATCAGGATGCTCTATAAGAACAATTTAACAGGTCAAGGGCAATAACTCATGAATAGTTAACTGATATTAAGAAAAGAAAATAGGGGTTTACATATTGAAAACTTTGTCAAGCAAATGAAAAGACTACTAGTACTAGATATTAAGAGTATAAGGCAAGGGCAATAACTCATCATTAGAGTGTTGAATTTTAATCTAAATCTTCTTTTCCTTTTATATCAATATTATAAACACAATAATTCAAAACATTTGATCAAAATTACATACTTCTGTAAGTAACTTCTAAAGCTGTGATATAAAATACATACCCTAGTTTTTTTTCTATATCATTCCTCTGTTGCCGTAGTAACTTTAATAACTGATCATCAGCAAATTCTTCATCAGAAACATCATCATCATCATCTAAAAATATAAAAAAAATCATCTTAAAGGGATTATAAAGAGGTTTTCTGAACATTTTTATGTGTATTGGGGACAATGATAAAACATTGGACAGTGCGATATTTCATTGGTAAACAGGATGGATTGTCTTCTGCCAAGCATTTGGGTGACCTCAGTTCAAATCCTCCTCAAGGTATAACAAATTCTGATGCAACATCAGGTGCTGTGAAAAGTTGGCCCAGTGTCGGCTTTCAATCTTTCATCTAACTTACTTATTTCAGAACTGTATCTTGTATGACCATCTTGATCTTCACCACCACTGCCTTCTAAATCTCTACTGGTCCATGTACTCTGGTCCTGGCTAGACCTGGCTAGTGACTCAGTACTATCTCTTTCTTTCTCTGTTCTTCCTGAGATTCCTCTGTGCTTTGAGTACTGACTGGACAGCTGCACATTCTGTTGGCTTGAAGTAGGAGACTTGGCCCTAATCGAAGACTCTTTTTGCAGCCTGCTTGAGGATGTCTGCTGCTTTTTGGATTTGTCTCTTGCCTCGCTTTGCTGCCTATTCGAAGATTGTGTCTGTCCTCTGCTCAAATTATCAGTCTGCTCTAAGATCTGTTCCCCACCTAAATGTTGCACATGTCTATTAGAAGAATGTGACTGCTCTGAGAGTTCCCTTCTGGACGACTGCCCCTGTTGTCTACTGGAAGAAGAGGTCTGTTGTCTTTCAGGTGAACTATCTGCTATATTTGACAATAAAGATGACATACTGTCAACGCTAGTGGAGGCAGTGAACATATAATCTTTCACAGTCTGAAATATAAAACAGACAACAAAATTGACATGGGGATTTTCTCTCTTGGTTCACGGTCAACAATTTGATTGGATTGTATGTCAGCAAATACAGACAATCAGAGCCCCCAATTTCATGCATAATTCTTTTTTCAGTCTTTCTGTCAAGGGCTCAGATAGATTGTATTTGCCAGCATACAATCAAATCAAATTGCTGCCTTCACGAGCTTCCTTGAAACAATTAAGATTCATATTGCAGTCAAGATGAACATGTCTCCTTTCAAGATTTTGAACCAGTTTTCCTAGTCAGTGAAATGAAGTGCTTTATGTTCTACTATTGCTTTCTGAGCTAGTGAATACAGGTAATGCAGGTAGTGTGCGATGAGGGAAATTGAGGGAGATATAGGCATAAACTACTCATCATACCTGTCCAATAGCTGAAGTTATAGGGGGAGTAGATCTAGCAGGACTGCTGGAATATTTAGGATGGATGACCTTGGATTTGGTTGGACTTTTGGGAATGCGATTAGAAGATCCAGGATCCTTTGTGTGGGAAATGTCCTCCTCTTTGTCCCTGTAAGTCACATCCATATCACTGGATTCAAAATCAACACTTTCTAGCACAGATTTTGTTGATTTCACAACAGTTGGAGATTGTTTGTAGTCTGCTTCTATTTCAGGGGAAGTAACTCTATTTAAGCTATCTGAGGAAGATTTGTCTTGAGTTTGAGCACGTGTAGACTTCCTATTAGCACTATCACAATGATTTCTGGAATCCTTCTGACGCTTTTCAGCTTGTTTCTCAGCTTCTATATATTGTCTATTTTCAAGCAAGTCTGTTTTCCTAGAGTCTGTCACAACATTACTGGATGCCTTTTTACGTTGTGTCGTTGACACGCTCTTATACTCAGCCTCTCCATTTGGTAAGACTTCCGAGTCGTAAAGATTTTTGAATTGTTCCTGATATTTCTGGGCATGAGGGCACGGCAAGACATCACACATTAGATGTAAATGAGGCTCCACATTTTCCTTGTCCCCTCGCTGTTTGTGTGCCAGAGTTGGACTAGCTATATAAGGTTTCTGGGACGATGTTATAGGGATTTTTTCAGGTTCTTGCACACTGGAGTGGGATGAAACCTAGAACGATAAATAATGAAGTGAGTTAAAGGGATTGTATAGAGGTGTTCTTAAATTTTATGTGTATTGGGGACACTGATAAGATTGATTCGCACCAATCCACCGTCTGTTGGTCTTGCATTTCAACTAAGGCTAAACACTTTTGGCATCTTTTCTGCTGTTTGTCCTGACTCACCTCTGAATGTGTATAGATATCATCATTTCTAGTTGGCGCTGAAGTAAAGCGCGGAGTAGATAGTTGTGGTCTGGATTCGGTCTCTGATATATCTTTTAACAACACTCTTTGTTGGATCTCTTTTAGTTTAGATTGTACCTCCTACAAACACAAAACACAGCTAGAACATATCAGTCAAATTGAACAGAATCTTTTATAGAACAAAGCATTTGATTGGTTGATTATTATATTAACCAGAACATGATACACATAATAATTTTTTAAGATCATGGATGGCAAGTGGAGTCACCTGCAAAACAAGCAAATTTTGCATTTTAACAGTTTACTTACTTTTAATTACTGAGGTCTTGCATATTATGGGATAGAATATATACGTATTGATTCAGCAAGCTAAGATGAATTGCATTAGATAATCCAATTCTACTCACTGAGTTATTTTTAGAGATCAGCTCAGCAGCTCCATTACGAGATAAATCCATCTTTCTCTGTAACCTCCATTGATAAAGAATATCATCTTCAGGGCGTTTGATGTTGGATCTATACGATAGGATATCTTCATTCTGGGCTTTATTTCTTACTGGCATATCTACAATATAATGTTAAAAGCTATGTGGACTCTCTGGAAGGATTGTCATGTTGTCAAACCTAAATACCAAATAAACATTGAAAACTTTTTGGAGTCTCTAAAAAAGGGATGCTGAGTTGGATTAAAAGTTAGAATACTTAATTACTAAATAGACATTAGTTGTCCTGATGAGGATTGTGTATCCAAAACACATGAGACCTGCCAAGATGATACCTAAGATTATGACTTACCTTTGTCTCGCTTGTCTTTAAAGTCTGTTCTATACTGAGGTCTAGGTGTTATGGTAGGTTCATCAAAACTAGAGGACTGTGATTCTGAACTAGCTAGACCATCACTGCTAACAGCTGGCCCTGCTTCTAATGATCCAAGACTACTCTCACTGTTAAAATATAATGTATGTTGTAAATCATTTAGTGAATAAATTAAAACCTAACCAATATGATGTTATAGTAAATCATTTAGTGAATAAATTAAAACCTAACCAATATGATGTTATAGTAAATCATTTAGTGAATAAATTAAAACCTAACCAATATGATGTTATAGTAAATCATTTAGTGAATAAATTAAAACCTAACCAATATGATGTTATAGTAAATCATTTAGTGAATAAATTAAAACCTAACCAATATGATGTTATAGTAAATCATTTAGTGAATAAATTAAAACCTAACCAATATGATGTTATAGTAAATCATTTAGAGAATAAATTAAAACCTAACCAATATGATGTTATAGTAAATCATTTAGAGAATAAATTAAAACCTACGATATATGAAGTAAAAATATTAAACTAAAGCCTTTAAAAAAATTAAATATTACTGACCTTTGGCTCAATATTCTATCAGCTTTTTCCTGTAAATTTTGAGTCCTTAAATCATCTTCAAGTTGTGATCTCCTCTTTCTACTACTTGACTGAAAACATAAACAAACATATATATTTGTGTACATGTGCATATTCAGTTTGAGATATTCTGCTAACTGCAACTTTCTAGGAATTCAACATTAAACAGTTAAAATTTATCACAAATATATTATATCTGAGAGTGAGCTAGTATTCATAAACTAAGCAGTGAGCAATATGGGAAAATTTGTCAATACATCTTCAGTAATTTGCTAATTTTTTCTCTCATTTGAAAAGAATCAAATCACTCAAAACATCAGAACATTACCAAAACTTAATTGTAGAACTTACCAATGATCAGTATAAAGTATCTCTATAAACCCAGAAGTGTGCAATATGGGAAAATGTAACTATATCTTTCAATTGAATAAAGAAATAAAAAGTAAAACATTAGAACGTACTAATGATTGAAGAACGAAAGAGAAGTGAAATGTTTAAACGTACCAATGATTGAAAAGTATCTGTATAAGCCTGAGATTCAGATCTGTCTATAAACTGACGACTTCTCTTTCTGTCTTCATCTTTCGGTGTGGAGCTACTGGTTGGAGTCATATTAGAGTCACTGGTCTTACCCAGCCACCAGAAATCTTTATCATCCCCTACCCCCATCTGTACTCTCTCTTCTCGACTCATTGGGGCGGAGTTACGAAATCTGTTGATATATCTAGGGATTAAAAGTTATTAGATTAAAAATTGGTAGAAACAGGATATGTTATTAGTCCTATTTTCAATAAAGAAATTTTAACCTTATTTAGGTGGTTGCACAGAAGAATGGTAACAACTTGGAAACGTAGAGCCTTACAACTTTAGTCAGTGTATTTCTTATTAAATTGTAGACAAATCAGACTTCAGCTTTTCACGCTGAAAAGCATTACTGACAGATGAAATGGAGATACATATTAAGACAATATATCCATTAGGGAGCGAGAATAAATGGCTCAGAAACTAAGGGAAATAATTACCTCTGTAATATGGAGCTAGTTTTAGCTTTTTCCTCAACAGGGTCTAGGTGAGTAAATAAGGACTGTTTGACATCAGAGACCATAGTTATATTGTCACTTCTATCATAACCAGATGTACTGAAAAATGTAGATGAAACTTGTGAATTTTTATAGATCAATGAAATCAAGATATAAAGCAACTATTACTGTACTACGCTTTTTGGATTTTGATTTGCACAGGAAGGAACTGAGACTCTAAATATCTCCAGGCTCGGTATTCTCAAAACGATCTTAGCGCTAGGACGTCCTAGTTTCTTATCTTCTAACATTGATTCTAGGACATCCTAGCGCTAAGATCGTTTCGAGAATACGGGCCAGATCCTAGAATGAGTGTCCCACAAAAAGTGCATAAAACAAAACATCTAGATCTGTTTTATTATGATTGAGTAATCATTCGATATAAAATTCGCAGCAAAATATCTAAAGTTGTATTTCAATCATATTGAAGAATACCTTGCTATGGAAGGTCTTTCACTGCTTGGCCATGACTCATCAAATTTTGACGGTCCAAAATCATGTTCTCTGGTTGGAGGGGTCTGACTGGAGTAGATATTGGATCCTTTTAAAAATGCCTCATCTTCAGGGTTGACACGTCTTTCCTTACTTGGACTGAGTGCAATCTAGGGATAAAAATCAAGGGTTTAAACAATTATTAACATTGTCCTAATAAATTTGGCAAACAATTCAACTATGAGTAATTGAGGAGTGAACAATGAAAATTAAACTGTAATCACACTCCCTTACTATCAACAAGATGGTATTTTGCCCAATCCTAAGAAACTTTGTATGCTCAGTACAGTATATTTCCTGTTCTATCAAAAAATTGCATCAATACCTTTTTCTGTGTTTTTGTCAGATTCTTCTGTTGACTTGGATGATAAAATGATTTTGGTATGGGAATTCTGGAAAATGGATCTCTGAAAGAAATTGACAATGCATGAAAAAGTGCTTTTGGCATGACGGATAAACTTACATTAACCTAGTTACAATTATTTCAGAGCCAAGGACAGAGACTGTTTTTTTCTGGCTTGTCAGCAGAGATTATAATAGATCTATTCCAACATCGTGAATCTACCTTATTCATCTCACACCCTATTGAGCAATTAACTGACGTTTAAAAAATATTGTACTTTTAATATGATTTTAAAATTAATAGGCCTATATATTTTACATTTCCGTCACATTATATTGCCATTTAGAATGCCTGAGTATATTTTCCAGTTTATCAACAACTTTGGGTTATTTAAAATACCTGTTCTTAGACTGTGCTTTCATCTCTTTCATTTACAGAGATTTTGATCAGAACAAGATTTGGCATGTCCAAAATGTTTGTAAACAGCCGCCGTTTCAAAGCTCTTTTTAAAAAGAGGCGACATTTGTGTGGCTCCGAACATATTTGAATGATAGAAAAGATCTACCAAAACGAATGAAGTATTTCTATTTCAGAATTTACACCATTTTCATCGAGAAAAAACCAAAAATAATCAAAATTCGTATAAACAAAACACTTTTCAATTTCTTTCCTGAAGATAATAATTTGAAAACTAATTTTATTTTTGATTCGTTTTATAATGATAGAAATTGAATTTCACCTTTTACATTAACCACTAGATTTCCAAGATGGCTGCGTCAAACACGAGTAAAACTCAAAAACCGAAATCTCAAGAACAAGTTATATCACAATTCAATGAAATGCGGCAGCAGCAACGAAGTTTTGTGTCCAAGATCTCAGAGATTGAAATGGACATCAAAGAACATGAGTAAATATGTTACTTACTGAAAATTATTGCCTGGCAATTCACAAGCATTTTAAAACCTGGAAATTGCATTATGACTAATGCATATTTGTCTCCCCACCGGCACTAGTCACCAATAAAGATCCCACTGTAGTAGCCGGACATACTGGCTATGTTCTGACCATGCAGAAAACCTGCTCAGCCAGTCAATCAACAAGTGACGTTTGGTTACAATTTGATATGTGCTTCTCAAAAAATTAAATTAAGTTGTCTTAAGCAGTAAAAAAACAAACTTATAACAGATAAATAAACAATATAGAAATATATCAATCACTATTAAGAGCAAGCAAACTCTCTGGAGCAATCCCCAATGCAATAGAATTTCAGTTCCTTTGAGGATTATTCGAACAGAGGAAGGAACCTTAATGCCCAGCAGACAGCAATCCAACTGACTTTCGTCTGAGCTATAATAATAATCTATATCTGGCTGTATTTATCAGTGATGTATGTTAATTTTAGGTTAGTGTTGGAAACATTAAGAGAAGTTGATGATGGAAGGAAATGTTATAGAATGGTAGGAGGTGTACTAGTTGAACGAACTGTCAAAGATGTTTTACCAGCTTTAACTAATAATAAAGAACAAGTAAGTTGTGATGGCAAATCATCAGAAATGCATATCAATGTCTTGTATTGTCTGTTAGCTGGAGGTGGCTTGTACAGTTATGTTTTAAAGTATGATGTTGGAGATTTAAACTCCATTTCAAAAACAAGCTGTCCTGGGGGGATTTTCTATCTTAAATGTTTCAGCAGGTAAAAATATATAATCGTCAATTAGAAAGGACACTTAATATGTGGTAGAACTCGCAGTTATACTTCATCTGGGTAGAAAATATTTAACTGATTAATTGAAAAACAGTCTAAATTCGTCTTGATATGTTGTTGTTATATTACAGGAGAACTGGATGTCAGATTTTAATTCTGAAAAGGGCTATGAATACCTTTGTCAGCTGGTAAAAGCAAATATTAATAAACAATGATATGATTAATGTACTTTTTCAGATGTCCAAATTAGTAGAAACTTTAACAAAGCAACTAGAAAGTAAAGGCAGTGAAATTAATAAATTTAGAGAAGAACATAATTTAAAGATCCAAGGTGAAGAGAAGAAAGATCTATCAGAGAAAGAGAAAGATTCCAAATCGGGGACATCTGGTGTTTTAGTGGCCAATAATTCTTAGCTGAGACTCAAAGACTCTTAAACTATAGGCCAGCAAACATATAGTTGAGTTGAAGTATTTGTGTTAATCTGGGTGCGATTCAGAACATAGTCATGAACAGTCCACTGTATTTTTGAGTTAAATATAGTGATAAAAACTAAACAAGGTAGATTCATTATGTCCATTACTACATACACTACCAAAAAAATGGATTGTTTGTGTTAATGTTGGAATCGCTTTCAGATGTGCACAAATATTTTTGCTAGACTGTAATGACATTGTTTGTAAATATCATTTGTTTTCGAAAATTGTCCCAGTGTTGGTTGAAAAAGACCTGGCTTAAAAGGACTACAATAAAGCTACATCATGCTAATTTGTTGAACGTGCATCTTGGAGATGTCCTAAATTCGACTTTTACCTTTGACAAATCATAATAATCTTTGTTATTCTTGGCTTCTGTTTTGCTAAAAAAATCTAGTGATACAAAAATGAAGACTTTTGAGAGGATTTTACAAGGAAGGGGTCTAAGTTTTTGTATTTTTTTCTATCATCATCATCCTTTATGGCTTCAGACAAACTCTTTTTCACTCAAGAAATTTTTGTGAAGATACCAGTTTTTTGAAAGAAGGGAGAAAATCAGGTACTTATCTGAGGAATTATTTTTGGTCTGTAGCCTTTGGATTGTTAAGTGCTTTTGCTATCAGAAAAAAAAAGTCTATATACTATATTGTGCTGTAATACTTATCAAAATTAAACTCTAAAAAGTGTTACTGATGTGCCATCTGATATAAAGAAATTAATTTCTGAGTTAAAAATTTATAAAATTGCTGACTTATGCTTGATTGATATACAGACTATATCTAAGCCCATATAAACTTCACCATCGTCATAATGTCAAGCCATTACAAAATGCTGCAATAGTCATTTCTTGCATCACAGATGTTTGATAATACATTTGATTAGATTTTACATTAACAAATACAGCCAATCAGAGTCTGCGACAGAAAATATAAGTCAAGGACAGTAATTGGCTTTAACTTGTTGCATTCCATGATACATTAAAGATGCTTATTACAGTCAAGGTATAAGACAAAGTCCATAATAGCTAGCCATTGTGAAGATGATACCCCACCCAAATTTTAAAAATCAACAAATATTGAGAAAATAATCATTTATTGCCATTTGTAATTCACAGAAAATCAACAAAGACTGCTGATAGATAGTTCACGAATATCTTTGCTCGATAATAAAATACATTTCTACCGATTTTTTTTACATATATAAATTGTTACAGGAATCCATATTTATCGAAGTAATGATTGGGAATTATATGACAAAGGAGATAAATAATAGTTATTATTAATATGAAGCTTGTCAAATGATACCATTTTCTGATATGCAGCTTTGAAAACATGTAAAGATATTATATTTCAATATTCTAGGGGTTACAAGGGTTTATCACATGTTAACACAAGGAAAAGCAATAAACATCTTAGAAGCAAGTTACACACATACATACAAACAAACATAACAAAACTATTAGATTATACTAGAGTCAAGCAAAGATGTTTGTACACATATTTGGGTCAATTCAAAACATAAACACAAGTGTTACAGAATATTATATTGGTCATGGTGCATGGAGCTTATTCAATAGTTCGTAATCAATAATCTTTGCAGCTACTATCTACTAGAAATCTGATTGGTTGGTAGATGACATGTCCATGTTTGTAACTGATAATTTGACAATCCTCGACTCTGTAAAGTTGAATCTGTTGCAGAGCACTAGCGTAACGTATACTGTAGGCCGTTATCGCAGACTAACACATTAGTCTTGTTTATGTTTTGAATTATCTCCCTTGATGTAAACAGATATCCCTGGTTGGCTATAAACTTAATTCATTTAAGACAATAACATAATAATATATAGACTTTGAAAATCTTACACAGACAAACACACCACAAAACAACAAGGCACAAGTATTCCATTCAGGCAACAGAGATTTTCTTAACTTTTAATGTGTATTGAGGACAGTGATAATATCGATTAGCATCATTCCAATTTTCAATCAGACGTCTGTGGTTCCTGCCATTCCACTAAAACTAAGCATTTTACAACATAGCTATCGCAAGAGATGCTTATTAATCAGTATAATTAGAGAGCAATAGTACTGTCATAGACAATGTAGCATTTCTATAATTACAGGAACCATTGGCATCTGGCAGAAAATTGGAATGATTCCAATATAAGCCCTAAATGGCCCCCGATACATAAAAAGTTTAGAAAACCTCTTTAAATACCATTTAAATTCATGTAAAACACAGTGTAAGACAAAAAAAGATTAAGATTAAATAAGGACTTGTCTACTTTCTCAAAAAAATAGATAAAACAACCGTCTTAAAATGACTAATGACAGGTCAAATACCTAATATAACGGGAGGCAAAAAAAAGTAGGATAGGAAGTTAGAAAATAGGAGAGATTTGGTAGAAAAGGGACTGGATACACTGTCTACCGGTACTTCCTCCAAAAAGTAAACTAAACTATCCAGTCTTAAGATATCCAATTACTGGCTTTATATATCCAAGTATGAAGATTACATAAGTAGAAAGAACAGGCTATTTTTAAATGCTCTCTCACCGATTGGCATGTGAAGAATGGAGATTCCTTATTATTCTTTCTCTTAATGTTATGTATAAGGGCATCTTCACAATGTTAAGCTGTTACAAACTTCATCTTATACCTTGACTGCAATAGCTAACTTTTTTAACATTTGTAAATATAGCAATTTGATTGGATCGTACGCTACAGCATACAACCAATCAGAGCTCTCAAGAGAAGGTCTGTAAACCATAAGCCTTAATGTCAACAGTTTAAGTTGAGGGCTCTGATTGGCTGGATTCACCAGCGTATAATCCAATCAAATCACTGTATTCAGTGAGACAAGACAAGAGCCCAAGGAAGTCCGGGTATTCGACGAAGAACCTTATCACTTGACATTGTGAAGATGGTATAAGGGGAGATTATGTTTTTCATTAAATAAAGGTCCAGATGTGTTTTGGAGAAAAGTAATAATTCAGCATGGCATGCAGTAAATATTTCTAATGAATTCAAAAATTTGAAAATGAGTGAAAGAATTTGCTTCCAGTAAATGCCATGCTGAACGCTTTTTAAATGTGTCTGAGACTTGAAGAAATATCACTACAATTAAAATAAGAACGTTATTATGATGAACTGGTGGCCTCTTTTGAAGCTGCTGCAGCTGCCGCCTTTTCTTCTTCTTTCCGAGCTTGTTCTTTTCGTACCTCATCCGCCATTATTTTTTTCGTCTTTTTCAAAATTTCGTCTGCTCCTTGCTTAAATAATTTCTCAGCTAATTCTATCCCAGCATTCTCTGCTTTCAGGAAAGCCTCGTGTGGGATTTCATCAGATTCCATGATTCCAGCATACTGGTGGCGTTTCGATTTCCTGGATATCTATGTAAAAGAGAATCCATCTTAAAATTCTTGATAAAATTGATAAATATTTGATGCTCATTTGATTCTGGAAAAAGGGTTAAGTCAATCCGTAGGGAGTATTAACCAAGGCTCAGTGTTTTTCTACTGGCTGTGCACGTTAAGGATCCCGACAGCTGGAAATCGAAAAAGAGTAAGCTAATGCTGCTTTTTCCCTCATTACACACTGCACAGCATTGCCCATCCAATAGGCGTTCAACTCCATTCATTTCATTTTCATCTTAAAAACACACTTTGAAAAGTAACCAGTGATGCTGTGTGGATGTAGTAGTAAAAATGAATTTGAGGAAAGGTCCCTGATATAAGTTATATGTACCTACTGACCTTTGACTGGGGTTCTGTGTCTGTGTCCTCTAATGGTAGTTCAACTGTTAAACTATCAACTACTGATTCTTGTCCACCAATACTAAATACACCACCTCGAATCATCAGCTAAAATACAATTCATTAAACTAGTTATCTTCAATTTCTCTCTCATGCTGCATGCAGATTTCAGTTCAAAAATAAACTGGTCCCTGGTGAACTAATAACCATAGACTTATGCCTTATTAGGAAATATCTAATTTGATAGGTCGTATTTAAAATTATCCAGGACACGAGAAGCATAACAATTTCATAAGATCACAGATGGATAGTGGAGTAACTCAATTCAATAATAAACTGGTCCCTGGTGAATAATTGTAAGAAAATGTTAAATGAACAGCTAATTTGATACGTTGTGTATAAAATTATCCAGAACACAAGAAGCATAACAATTACATAAGATCATAGATGGATGGTGGAGTAACCAAAATGGAGTATCCAACAGAAAAAACATGAAGCAAATCATGCCTTAAAGTCATCTTTACCTCTGTATCATTTAGTTCTGTTTGTACACAGACTGGTACACTACACCCTCCTTCCTACAAATATAACAACAATACACTGAAACTTTAACACCTGATAACTCTCTTTCCCTGGGTAAGTCATCCTTTAAGAGAGTTCATATGGCTAATAATGCATAGTGGTATGTAAACTTGAATCCCTTTCAACAAGTCCACTAAGCTACTAATGTTATTTCTTAAGTTTTGTTTATCAATTCAGAACAGAGTTTGGGTATGTCAACTCAAAATGCCTTGTGAGGATCCACATAGCTAATATGTCACTTGACACCTGCTAACTTCCAGATCTGAGAGAAATATGAGGTCCAGGGAGGTAGCTGGAATTGGATTCTGTGTTTCCAGTCAACAGGTCAAAGGTTAAATCATCATAATAAAATATCTAACCAGTTTTTTAAGGTAAGCGCGTTCTGCGATACATCTTATAGCTGTGTCATTGTGATGTAGGGGAGCTAATAATCGTAATGTTTCCTCGTCATTGGCTCGGCATTCTACTGCTAGCGCCCCCTGTCCTACACAATACATACACACATCGGGCGTTAAAACCTGCAATGGAACATATTTCTAATATTTGTCATATAACTACTGTTTATATAAAGTTTAAGAATATTGTAATTACTGGACAATGGTCTTTTTACATTAGTAATAAGTCTAAGTTACTAACCTCTCCTATAGCAGTGTGCCAGTCCATCCTCTCTAGCCCTGATTTAGCTAGAATAATAGCATCATAGTTACTGTCATTCAGTTTCTTAAACCTTGTGTTTAAATTACCTCTCTAGGGTCACAGTTAAGGAATAAAAGTGCTGGCAAATTCTACTGATCGCTCGGAATTGTATCCATGTGTCAATGACCACAGGCATTCAATAGCCATTTGAGTTCAATATTACAAAATCAATGAGATAGACATGAAATGAATTCATTCTGGTTCATTCAAGATACCAAACTTAATAAGGTAGACATAAAATGAGTCTAATAGCCATCTTGGATCATTCAAGATGATAAAATCAACTCTGAGTCTTTCCTTGTTATCTCTGGCACATGTTATCTTTAGCTAACTTAATAAGATTATTTTCTTGAAAATTACAAATTTAAACTTCTAATTTTTAGTTTTAAAGGATACAATATCTTTGATTTCAAAATGAGGATATTTTCTTTTAATTTGTGCTGCTCTTCTTAATGAACTGGTACCAATAATACTGTAATTATAAATAGAAATATTCCCTTATACTGGTGCGCGTTATACAAGCCTGTGTATTATACTCACAATTATACAATATAAGTCAAGACTCTACAATAGTACCAGACACATAAAAAACTGTAACAAAATTCATGTGATTCTTCAGATCTTGAATGAACTGCAAAGATTTCTGTCATCCCATCCACGTCTTTATTATATTACCCATGATAGGCCTAAGGGTATGATTTACATGCTTTTTCTCTTTTTCGTAGTCAAATGATTCAAAGTATTCCAGGTTGGATTCCATGCTTATTCCTCTCTTCCTTTTTATAATAAAAGTTCCACGATGATTTACAAGCTTACCTTCCTGGTGGTAAAGTGGCTAAAGTCTTACCACGATTATTAAAACTCATAACTACAGCATCATAGGGATCATCACGTCTGAAAATAAAAACCATTATTATAACTCTTACTTTTAGACCACAATGGACTGGAATTCTTCTATCATTTCCCAATATTTCAATTGTATGCCATTTGTCTATGGGTAAATAAATTTGATAAGATTTGAACTCACAGCGCTGTTTAACCTACCTATAAACACATCCTATAGTCAAACCATCAGGTAACGTAGTAGGTAGATCTTTTAGGCTATGAACCACAAAATGGACTTGTTTTTCTTTTAAAGCATTTTCTAGTTCTCTAGTGAATAATGATTTTTCTCCTATCTGAAACAGTGAAATGAAATTTTTGAAACACCTGATGCTACTTCTCGTTTGAGAAGTCCACTAATATGCAACAGCTAAACTCTTGATTTTGCCATTCTTTGGACCAGATTTTTGATTTACGGAATTGTTTACAGATTTTTATTGACATGAAAAGAAGTTTTACACCATGCAGTGTGCAATGAGGGAAAGAGATACATAACTTCAACGTTGATAAATTCATAAGTAAGAAAACAATTCAAAGTCTTACTTTTGATAAAGCTGAATCGAGAATATTATCTCCAGTGGTTGTCATGGTAACTGAAAAATTAGAAAAACATAGACAGAGTTGTAAAATGAAATGAAATTTTTATGCTCAAAATAAGGCTTGTAATGCCTGAGTGTCCAATGAGGGAAATTTGGGCAAGATTATGGCACAGAGAATTTACTGCCACATCTGAACAACAATTTGTGTTCCATTTCAGATTCCATTTTTGTTTCAAATCTTAATTAATTCTTTATTCAGCAAGTAGATATATTTATCACTAACTGTATTTAGAGAGCAATCAATAAGATTCCTTAAAAGTAAACTTCCAACTTACTAGTATGAAATTCTTGACCTGGATGGCATTCTTTCAGTTTGGTAATTATTGTATTTGTCTGTATTAATGCCAGCTGAAAAACAAAAAACAATCAAATTATCCTTCGCTGTTTGATAGTGTCAAGAACAGTCTCATAAAAGCACTGGCCCAGGAGCAAAAGTGAATTATGTGTTTTGACTATATTTTTACACTGAATAAAAGGCTCCTGATTTAGATCATTAGAAAAGACTAATAAGAGCAACAGCCCCACCATTAGGTTAGGGTCCATAGGGGCAAGAGAGAATTAAGCACCAGCAAAACCATCTTCATCATAAATTGATTCATTTACAGTGTCTTTGTACGAAAGTAAAAAGATATAGATTTAGATACGTTCTTGGCACCACAAAACTGTCAGAATCGAGTTCTCTAGGTCTTTAATTCTTCGAATTTTCTGAGTACAAATCTGAGCCCCAGCACTAATTTATTCCTGGCGACGAGACTGAAGAGCAGTTGATGGAAGACATTGACATGAAATTTCTTTAGTATCTCTTTAATAGTGAAGGGTATGTAGTGTTAACTTTTATATCAAAACACATTCTATAATTCATATATTTATTCAGCCATATGCCTTCACTCCATGTGGGTAACACATGAAGTGACAATAATAAAAGATTTCCTCGTGAGCGAAGCCATGACAAGCACATGCTATGAATATTCATTTACATGTTGAATATTCATAATGTTAACATGTAGGACTATTTTAAGCTGATTGATCAACAATAATCTACAGATAAAGATACAAAAATATTCTGACTGTTGACATTTATCATAACTATTATCTTATAATAGACAAGCAGAGCCCTTGACCCTTGACACAGGAAATAGTGTGCTAGTCATCTATTATAACCCCTTAATATTCTATTGAACTCTTCCACACATGCATTCTTTCTATCAATAAGAAACTGAATATGTAGGATTGGAAGAGCTCATTTATAAAATTAGGGCTAATCTATATCTCCAATGGAATTGTTACAAAGTTTTAAAAACAATTGTATGTGTATCAGATATATCTATGCAATTCGTTTCTATCAATGTTTCCGATACACATGATTTTTTTTTAGAAAACCTCCTTACAATCCCTTTAAAGGAACACTCTTAGAATGGACATACAATTTTTAGTCTCAACATAAGAAAATACATCCATTAAACTAACTAATAATTGAGACACACTTCTAAGCATATTTTCAAAATGACTAATTTTAATGAATTATTACTTAGTATCATGGATTTACTGGATTATAGAGGGATTTTGTCATATAGTTTTGACACTAGGTAAGTTCACTGATCAACAATGACTGTCTTGGTCATCCTAAGAGGTAGTCTACCTTTAAAGTATACCATTACTCATTGCCCTGTGACTAAAATCACTGAACTAGAGTAAACATTGAACATCAGACCACTGTCATAACATCAGAGCTTAGAGTTTAATTTATATCATTAGATCAGTAGACCTTAGGTACATAATACATTATTATACTAAACCTATTCAAATATACTAAATTACTAGTAACATAAATTATTTCAACTAACTACATAAAGTTTTAACTGACTCAAAATGACCAACCATGACCGATTTGTCATTCAAGACGTCTGGGTGACTATCTGTAAAATCATTTGTCAGGGCCTGTAGATAGGGTCGAATTTATGGTCTAAGGGGTATCTGAGAGGCCTCTTTTATTATTTGAAACTATTGAGAATAGGGCTGGGTATCCATTACCAAATTGAGATTGATTATCGTCAGAAAGCTACCAATCAATGAGCAAATGATACCACTCTAACAACTATTTATGTGTCTTTGTACAAATAGAGCTCTATTTTCTGCCTGATGAACATACAAATACTAGAAAATCAGAATGGTGTAAATAGAAGCTATAAGTGTCCCGTGATACACATACAAAGACTAGAAAATCAGAATGGTGTAAATAGAAGTTATAAGTGTCTTTGATACACATACAAAGACTAGAATATCAGAATGGTGTAAATAGAAGTTATAAGTGTCCCTGATACACATACAAAGACTAGAAATCAGAATGGTGTAAATAGATGCTATAAGTGTCCCGTGATACACATACAAAGACTAGAATATCAGAATAGTGTAAATAGAAGTTATAAGTGTCCCTGATACACATACAAAGACTAGAATATCAGAATAGTGTAAATAGAAGCTATAAGTGTCCCTGATACACATACAAAGACTAGAAAATCAGAATAGTGTAAATAGAAGCTATAAGTGTCCCTGATACACATACAAAGACTAGAAAATCAGAATAGTGTAAATAGAAGCTATAAGTGTCCCGTGATACACATACAAAGACTAGAATATCAGAATGGTGTAAATAGAAGCTTTAAGTGTCTCTGATACACATACAAAGACTAGAATATCAGAATGGTGTAAATAGAAGCTATAAGTGTCCCTGATACACATACAAAGACTAGAAAATCAGAATAGTGTAAATAGAAGTTATAAGTGTCGTTGGTTCGTAAACAAAAATTCCTCTTGTGAGTCCCTTTAAACATGTTCTTTACACATGGATAAAGTTTGAATATTGAGTATTTTGTATTAAAATGTTATAACTATGATATACATATAATATATATTACAGTCATGTACAACATATGTTTGATATCATCTAACTCATATAACTGACAAGCATATCCAAACTACATCTATAATACAATCAGATATATTATCTATTATCTTTACTCTGGAATACAATAGCATGTGGTCTATAGAAATGACACTTTGCCGCAAAATATTACGATGAGTTGAAATAAACTGAATCAGGGATGTTGATTTGCCTCCATTTGCCAGACATGATTGCCAGACATGATTGCCAGACCAGACTAGCTCAAATGTCTATTTTTCACACAAATCTGTCGGACATTAAGTGTATGTTGGACAAAGAAAGGCAATGACTGCAATTACACCATTCTATTGTGAAAAACACATCAAAACTTTGTCTGAATGTTGACTTAACTTCGTGACATTTAACCAGAAATTGAGGGGAAAAAAACTATCAATAATCCCCTCAAACTATCAACCAACTTGTATGTCACCACAAAAACTTGGTGCATTTGTGACAGGTTCGAGATGACTTTTCTAAAACAAATTAATTTTGGTTAAAGGGAATATGAGCCTTTGTTTTTCTGTTACTAGTTTAATTGAAACTTCCACTGCAGTGTGCAATATGGTAAATCTAGTGTGGACATACTGTACATGTAATGATTTTATAACAAATATAAAGTACTAGGCCAACAAGACAATTTGAATTTTCACAAGGGTAAAACATTTAACATAAAATGCTGATCAGTCAGAAAATTGTTGTCTGCTATAGATTATAACAAGGTGCCCTAATAGGTTTAAATTCGCTAACAGCCTAAGGCAACGATGATATCTCTTTAGAATTTCCCTAAAAAATCAGATTTGCTAATTTTGATCATTTTGAAATGAATACTCTTTGGCCCCTTTGGATAAATATGCAAACATTTACTTGTCCTATGGGCAATAGGAAATTCATATACCACTGCAAATGTTTTTTTGTTTTTTAACCTTTTAGATCTAATACCTGTGGGTTGACAGTAATGTCAATGTATAAACACCAAAGATGGATTTTATTTAGCAAAAGAATTCAATCAAAATTTTTTTTTTTTAAATCTAGCCTAATGAGTGGTCACTGTCAAGCTGCCTTCGGAATAAGATTCAATTAGTTTTCAATTAGTTTTCAATTGATAGACTTTCTTCAGCCATCATTATGATTAAGTTCACTTGATCATAGTACGGTAGTAAAAGTATCTGTCAGTCTATAAATATATCTATGAGTATGTCACATATGAATTGAATGATACAGATAGGCTATTTGTTAGATCGCCTTCCCCTTTGACCCTTTCTAATACTAGCCTAATATTCACTAATGATTGATAGCTTACCTGACTTTTCCTGGATCCAACAACAAACACCTTATCGTTTTTATTCTCAGACATCTTGTGACCTTACTAAAGCCGACAAGAAACTAGCAGGAATTAGATAAACAGTAGGCCTATTCCCACACCATGATCTCATCACCGAGTCTTCAACCTTAGTGAAGGTAACACGTACAATCGTCCCACTTCAACTTTCCTCTTTTAGTCTCGATTAACTTGGTTTCTTAACGGTTTCTCTTGTAGCGTCAAATCGGACTAATTTGTCAAACCGTCGTCAATAAAATAAAACATGAAAACTCGATTACATGTAGACATTTCTTTATTTTGAATCATAATCTAAAATAACCGAACCCAATCACAATGTTATAGTATAATACTCCTGGGTTTTAGAACGTTTCAAGAATTTACATGGTCACCACCAGGGAGTTATTTTCTATTTTGTGCTAGTAAATCGGTAGTTTATATGAGGCTGGATAAACAAACTTTATGGTGTATGGAATAAGCCGAAATAAATTGTTCTTCAAATTCCCAACAAAATAGATGACGGCAGTCCGGCAGTTAACATCCTCCATAAAAAAAAACCTATTTGTCGCGAGTAGGATGTAGAATTAGTAGCGGTACAAACATGGTGAACGTAACGAAAGGAGTTTTAGTCGAATGTGATCCTGCTATGAAACAATTCCTCTTACATTTGGATGAGAAAAATGCTTTGGGACGAAAATTTGTAATTCAAGATCTTGACGATACGCATCTGTTCATTTCCAGTGACATTATTGAGATTTTACAGACCAGAATTGATGACTTGATGGACAAATTGTCTTTTCCACTGGCAGAAAAATAAAAACATAAACTCATTTTCCAAGTTCTGGTGCATCTAGAATACAGAAAAGTATGACCATTTTTTGACCAATTAAATCATTTGATGATATTTTGTATCAGTGTTGTCTTTCACTTAAACTGTTAAACTAATATTGTTAAGATCTACCAGTACCATTCATGATTGAATTTGAAGCCATATTTCTTGACTTATTATGAATTTTTCTGTTGTAGTGGAAGAGAAAGATTCAATATGGCCAACATTCCCTATCAAAAGACATCTTAAAGCAAACCATATTTTATTTGAAGATGGAGACTTGGCCTGTATCCAAAATATCAAAACTATTCCAGTGGAACCAAGTCAACTTCAAATCAAAAGGGTACAGGAATTTCCTTGCAGTATTTCTAGGTGTGGTAAAATTTTTGATTCTCTTTTAAGGTAAGAATTTCATAGATTTCAATTCCATTCATTATATACAAAAACTTAGTATTATTAGATATATCTTCACAATGTCAAGCTTATACCTTGACTGTAATAACCAACTTCATTGTTTTATTGAAGTTTATGAATGGAGCAATTTGATTGGATTTGATTGCCCTCAACAGAAAGGCTGTAAAAATAATATACATGAAGTCTGATTGGCTGTTTTTGCTGGAATACAATCAAATCAAACAGTGAAACAAGAAAGTGTAGTCAAGGTATAAGATGAAGACTTTATACCTTCACCATTGTGAAGATGAGATATATACTGCTCATCAATTCTTGATTAGATAAGTATGTCATCCTTTATCTGAGGATTGTTTAGGATAAACAACCCTCATCAGGACAGATTAATTGCTAATTTGAATTGACTTTCAAGAGGTGAAATTTACGTTAGCTTATTCGCTTCAAGTGAGACTATGGTATTGTAAAAGATTGTACACACCTTCCCCATCCAGTTCCTTAATGTTTTTAATGATGGTTAAATTTCTTTTTTCCAGTTATGAATCTCATTATAATACACAGCATCGAAACTGTTGTTCTGTTTGTAAACGAGTTTTTCCTTCTAATTATTTACTAGAACTACATCTTCTAGAATGGCATGATAGTATGTTTGAAATACAGGCAGCAAAACAAAACATGGTAAGAAATACAAAGATGCGATTATCTGTGATTTATTGAGATACATGTCTCAAAATTCCTTAAGTAAGATGTAATTTTCCACACTTCCAACAATAAGTTCATTTGCTCACATGGTGCAGAAAATTAAGATGTAAAACTCCATTCATTTCATTTTCATTTTCCCACAATAAGTATAAACTAATGGTGAGGCAGTTGACCTAAGTTTTCTAGAAATTAGAATGATTTGATTTAATAATAGTTTGATTTATAGTTTAAAGTATAAATTTTCCTCTAGGAATTCCAATAGGAATTATTGTGTATTTTTTCTATTTTTAGTATAAATGTTTAGTTGAATCTTGTCCAACTCTACTACAAACTTCTAAAACCAGGAAAAAACATATGATAGAGAAACATCACTTCCCTTCCAATTATAGATTTGATAGAGTCAAAAAGTAAGTGGAGAATTTTGTAAATAAAGTTGAGAGTATTTGCATATACAGTGCATATCCTATGTGTTTCTCTCAGTGAGTCCAGGGAGCTCAGTGGTGCAGTAAGTTCAAGGAGCCAGGTGGCTCAGTGAGTTCAGGAAGCTGGGTAGCTCAGTGGCTCGGTGAGTCCAAGGAGCCAGGTAGTTCCTTTATTCAAGGAGGTGGTTGGCTTAGTGAGGTTTCAGAGCCAGGTGGCTCAGTGAGTCAAGGGCCCAATATTGCTCAGTGAGTAAAAGGAGCTAGATGGGTCAGTGAGTCCAGGGAGCTGGGTAGCTGTGTGAGTCCAGGGAGCTGGGTAGCTGTGTGAGTCCAGGGAGCTGGGTAGCCCAGTGAATCCATGGAGCTGGGTAGCTCTGTGAGTCCAGGGAGCTGGGTAGCTCTGTGAGTCCAGGGAGCTGGGTAGCTCAGTGAGCCATGTGTTTTAGTCTGTGTATTTTTTTGTCTCACTTACAGGAATGCTCCAAGTAAACAGCCATTAAAAGAAAAGAAGAATGATAACTCAATGGATGTAGAGGAACCAGCGAAGCAGACACCTCCTAAAAGAATATTTAGCTATAAGTAAGTTATCTTTATGCAGATAAAATTTGAAGAGGCTGATTTCAAAAATCATTCTATATGTTGTTAACTTTTTTTTTATCTTTCTAAATTTCAAGGTTCACTTTTTCAATTCTTTGTAGAAGTAGGAAGTCCACGAGAACACAAAAGCTTATTTAAGTGTGGTCTGTAATCAAGCATTGAGTTGCTTCCCTTTAATCTTCCACTATGGTGTTCTCATTTTTAACTGCTTTACTTTACACACTCATGGAATTTTCTTTCTTAATTAGCCCTATCTGCAAAGAAAGGTGTAAATCTCTATTTTTATATTGCAGAGTACCAAAGAATATATGTTTTGGACAGGGATCTATGAGGGGCTTCAATAGGCGCGGGCGTGGTGGGAGACATTGGCACCAAGTGAATAAAACCAAGGACACTAGTGTAGATATTGAGAATGTTGTCATGAAAGACTTGAATGATGCCTTGGAATCCTGAAATTGATGCCTTGGAAGGTGCCTGATAGTGCTCTTCATCCTTCTTTAGTGAAACTTTAAGTTTAAGGAGAAGAAAGGATTTGGCTCAACTCAAGCCTGCAACAAGAATCTGAGAGCTACTAAAATTTTGGATCAACGCTAGCAAACATAATTTTTTTACGTTTTGTTTTGTAAATATGAACACACATGCAATATTTGTGAATAAAATATGAGTGCTGTCAACCCTGTCATATGATATTGGCCATCTTGATTGGTTAATCAAAGCTATTTGGATAAAGTTAACCACCATCCCATCTCATTCTGGATTATTCAATAAGTCATTTGTATATTATATTAGAATTTATCATACAATAAACACATATAAAAATACAAAGAGGCAAGAGTAAATATGATTGTCGCAGATTCGTTCCTAAATTGATGAATAAGTCACCAAAACTATTCAAAGCGTTCTTGGCGTCATCCACCAAACCTTTAGCCGTATCTAGTGCCTTATTCCCCACATTTTCAAGTTTATCGTCAATATTGTTTAAGTCGACATCAGTCAGCTCATCAAATGTGTTTTTAGCATCATTGGCAAGATCTTTAGCACCCTGACCAATGCCTTCACCAATAGCTTTCCCACTGTCCACCAAATCTTCACCTGTCAACGAACCATCAATGACCTTTCCAGCAGTGTCGAGTGCCTCCTTATTGACCGCGTTTCCAAGAGCATTGTTCGTCAAGCTAGTAGATGCACCACCAATTCCTGTATCGAAGCTTCCCAAAAATTGATCCGGACTCATCTGCAGACCGCCATTAGCTATGATCTTTGCCACGACCTCTTGGACAACTTTCAAAGGATCCTTTTCCACTTCCTCCCAGAACTTCTCTGTGTCCTTAATTCCATTGGCTTTAGCGACTTCAGAGTCTTTGAAAAATTCCATGGATTCGGTCATAGAGTCCTTGTCATCACAAGCTATTGCAGCAACTTTGCTCATTTTAGAAAGCCTCGCACAAGATGTCTCTACTGTAGCACAGAGTGGTCCACAGTCCTTCAGCATTTCTGTGCAGGATTTGGCCAATGTGTAGATGGTACATGCCACTTCAATCTGAGGTGGTGCCCTTTTATCTCGTTCATTGCCTGAAAATGTAAACCACCTGGTCATGGAGGGTATCCATAACAACAATCTTATTGAAATACAGATCTGAATGTAGGTAATTAGGTCACAGGTAAATCGGTCACCGGAAATTTGGTCACAGTAAAAAGGTCACAGTAAAAGGTCACACGGTAATTTGGTCACAGTAAAAAGGTCACACGGTAATTTGGTCACAGTAAAAAGGTCACACGGTAATTTGGTCACAGTAAAAAAGTCACACGGTAATTTGGTCACAGTAATACGGTCACATGCTAATTTGGTCACAGTAATAAGGTCACACGGTAATTCGGTCACAGTAAAATGGTCACACGGTAATTTGGTCACAGTAAACAGGTCACATGGTAATTTGGTCACAGTAATAAGGTCACACGGTAATTTGGTCAGAGTAAAAAAGTCACACGGTAATTTGGTCACAGTAATACTGTCACATAGTAATTTGGTCACAAATTACCCATTTTCAGTGGTGTTGGTCATCTTATTCACATCAACCGCTTGTAGTTGATAACAAGATTCAATAAATGGTGGAGGACGGGCAATGTCACAACCTAATTAGGATCGTGACTTTGCCCTTGACTTAGCGCAAAATTCGTTAAAATTGGCTTCTAAAGAAGATAGAAACTACAATTTTTATCGGATTTGACTGAAACTTGGTATGCTTGTGTATATTGGTAGCATCTCAATACCCACTGATGTATGTCCGATTTCGTTGACCTCTTCTGAGTTATGGCCCCCGACTTAGCGCAAAATTTATTGAAATTGACTTTTAATTCAAATTTTTTTTCTGATTCGATTGAAACTTAGTTTACCTGTGTATATTGGCTACATAGAAGTAGTGATGCTATTTATAAGGCGAAAGCCGCGATGAGATTTGCTGCTGGTGGGCGTATAGCCTTGTGGGCGTCCGCTCGTATATATTAGCACCGTTGCTCGTAAATTTCCACGCCTGTCCCAATGACCTGAGCGTTTTTCAATTTTCGGGTAGGGTGAGATGGGCGCCCTTCAGATACGTGAGATACGTGCGAAGCATCTCACCCTACCCCCACCCGAAAATCGAAAAGAATCTGCTTTGAAACGCTCACGTTATTGGTACAGGCACGGAAATTTATGAGTAGTGGAGATTATATATAAAATACATATTAAAGTCAATACCGGATGATTTCACAGGCTGCATTCAGTGAGTGAGAATTCTGTAATTTGGAATGGCGAGAGTCGGCAAAAGTTAAACGGTGGTATGACTTGCAAGCTTAAAAGGCAGACCGGTGGCGGGTTGTATCAGCAATAACTATATAGCTGCAGATTGACAGGTATACCAAATACTGTTCGACCGTTCAGGGCCCCACAAGGTCCATCCATCTCTGGCAGAGGGCAAGCAGAACACTATATTATGTATTATGAAATAAATATCACTACACCAGTTACCAGTAATTTCATTTTACTAGTTTTGCCTTGACCAGATCACTGTGTGACCATATTACTGTGACCAAATTACCGTGTGACCGTATTACTGTGACCAAATTACCATGTGACCCTTTTACTGTGACCAAATTACCGTGTGACTTTTTTACTGTGACCAAATTACCGTGTGACCCTTTTACTGTGACAAAATTACCGTCTGACCTTATTACTTTGACCAAATTACCATGTGACCTTATTACTATGACCAAATTACCGTGTGCCCTTTTACTGTGACCAAAGTTCCGGTGACCGAATTTCCTTTGACCTAATTACCGCACCCCACAGATCTGGATATCTCGTTTCCTGATCTTTTCTCTGCGTGATACCACTTTACAGTGGGTCGGGACCCTCTCCCAGACGTAAAGTGCTTTGGTCCTCTAAAATTTCTTCTACTGAGGGAGAGAATTGCCGGTGAGCTCCCTTGCCCAATTGATAAATCTGAAATCTCTTTTCCAACCAATCGACTGTTCCGTACGTGAAAGCATGATGTGCTACAGTGCATGGCTAGCGACACCTACTATAATACTTATTAAAATGCAGTTGTAGGTACAGGGGGCAAATGGTTTCAATTTCTACTTCAATATTTCTAACAAAAAATATCAATGTCTATATGTTTTCGCCCCTAAATATTTGTCAGAGAGGCTGGCTCCACCACAGAAGTTAGAGTGAAGCTCAAATTCGATAAAATAATTCTTACCGATCGTTTCCAGTAAAATCAACGACAGACAGGTTATGGTAAATATCAGCTTCATTTCTCCAAGAGCATTTTTTTTCCTCTGAAACATTATTATGATACTTTACAAATAATAAATATAAGAAAACAAATTCTTTAACCCGACAACAAAATGTAAACTTGATATTACATACAGAGACGCGTAAAACCTGTTTGAATAATTTTAATGTATTTGAAAATATAATACACCGTGTCTATAAGCTTATCTGCATGTACATTGTGTATGCTGCATTTGACAATAAACTGCTTAATGTGTATAGGAAAGAGAAACGAAATCAGCCAAAGGAACGTTCGTTGTACTCTAGTCGCAGTGTAACATGATCACTTAGCCTGGGCATGTATATTGTGATTATAACAGGACGTTTAACAGGACAACTTTCCACGGATGGCTGCGGGGGAAGGGTATATGATTATGTGGTCTTATGATTCTCACTTGAGACAAAACACTTTACGATCCTCGTTTAGGCAACCATTGAAACAGGCTGACACCATTGGTAGGCCTACCCCTCCCAATATTCCGATTAAATTTTATTAATTCTTTGATCGGAAACATCATATGCATCAAGAGAGTATTAGTGACCAGATAAGGAGCTTAAAACCCAGTGTTCGTCAACAAATTATAACCTTACCATACAGAGCAATGAATTACATGAAAAAACAAGTTTAACTTCCCAAATCTTCTGTTACCGTTCAACTGACAAAAACTATCCACCGATGGCCACCAGAAAGAGAGATAGATAAGCCCCCCCCACCCCCCCTCCCTCCGAACCCCCAACCTTTCCTTCAAATTCGCATATCTAAAAACTAACCAAAATCATACCTCGTTTTCAAAAATCAAATTTTCTCGACCATTTTATTTCATAACATATTAATATACGAACTTTATGAAAGGGAAAGATATGACATAGTAAACGCTCTATTTATTCGTCTTTCTATTCACGAATTTGTTTACAACAAAACACAATATACATGATCAAATACAAAAACTTTATGGTGGATTATTGTCGATTGTCTGTTTGAAGAAAATTGAATGAGTCAATCCTTTTCGGGAATTTGAATAAAAATAAAATTCAACCCACTACACCCCCTACGAAACGAACCCGTTATAGTGCCTGTCGATAGCTTGATATAATTGTCATTCTATTTTATATCGACGTCATACTGTGTACAATAAGGAAAAAATTGTTAAAACAGTAGTAACAGATTTCGATCTCTAGATATCACCCTTGAAGGATACATCGTGTACCGATCTCAATCTTACGACTAGACGTTTTCGGAGGCCCCGTGTGCTACAGACTGCACGTTAATGAGCCCTCTACAGTTGGAAATCAAAAAGAGTAGTCTAATGCCGCTGTCCTGGTGCCTGGTGCTAGGCGTTGACCTTCTTCATTAGCCCAATAAGGTGCAGAAGAGTAAGACGTAAATCTCCAATCATTTCATTTCAATTCATTTTTTTCCGGTAAGTGAGCGTGGTTTAACGAAATTGGGGGCGGGGCAGACTAATTAAAGGTACGCACAAAGACAGAGTTATAAGTTTAATTGATTAAAATGGTATAAATGTACAACATCATATAACAATTTCTACTACTATCTATCTAGAGACCCGAGTACGAACCAAACTCAACAAACAATTTGAATAATTTCTACACAATTAAAACATATATATACATTATATAGCGTATCCAAATACAGATTTTGACATAATTCGTATTTCGCGAATAGAGGTGTGGTTTGAATACCATAATTTTCTATTGCGCTTTGTCCAGAAATATTGGGACTTTTTGGAGCTTTTGTAGCCTTTGAAAGCCGAGTGCTAATTGGAAGTTTTTGACAATTCAAGAAAATTATAACATGACCATAACATTAAGATTGATTGCTGCAAGGGCAACAGGCTGCAAGTGCCCTCTATGCACACAAGAGCAAGTTTGCCCCCCCCCCCCCCCCCTCTATTTCAAAGATTTCGTCCCCGGACAACCTAGGCTAGCTAAGGGACAGTGTAATATTCAAGCGCATCTTTTTCACTTCACCTACACGTAGGACTACGCACACGGATATGTTACAATACAATACAATAAAACGTAGAATACGGTAGTCAAATCATGATCATATCCAGGTCCTCGTGGCAATATCCTGGCCATAAACGCACGTACATTGGAGTGAAGTGTATTCTAGTAAACGTCCATTAATGCATAGCCCAAAAATGGGCAATTAATCATAACAGCGATATTGGCAAAACAATATTTTTCCTTTCAAAATCACATAAATTAAATGAAAAAGTTTTATACTTTTATGTCCTACTTTTTGAGTTTCGCCATAAAGTGTAAAATGGAACACTTTTTCAGGATTCAACGTCACTGAGATGTACACAATGCACGCGCATTTCAACACATGACACTATTCCATTAGATACTACTTTTACAGCACGTAAAACAATTTTGACGCATGCGCACTGTAACTATGATATACATGTATATACGTATACTATATTATCTTGAATACATAAAGAAAATCCTTCCATATCTTGTATAGCACGTCAAATATGTTGTCTTTCGTCAATGCACGCGCATTTTATTATTTGAGTTCACTAATTTGCAAATTAAACGGTCATGAGTACCTCGCAAACAACGATTAACAGCCAACGGATATTTTAATCTTTAGTCCTGTTTTCAGCGAAATCGACAAAACGATATTCTACCAAATTAACTAAAAAAATTCTCCTTCGACCACCTGGTGCCACTCAACGACTGGATTTAGTAGTCCGACTTCCCTTTTAGAGCCATTACATGTAAGTGGGTAATGTTCACGTACTTCAAAGTCCAAT